AGAACCAGGTTCTACCACCCCGACAAGGTGATGGATATATTTCTGTCAGGGGCAAAAACAGTTAGTTGACGAATTATCCTCATTGCACATTGAACCATTCAGTCCATAAACGCTTGGATCCCCTCCTCATCAAATGCTGCAGTGTGTAGAGGCTGACAACACCAGTCCATAAACGCTTGGATCCCCTCCTCATCAAATGCTGCAGTGTGTAGAGGCTGACAACACCAGTCCATAAACGCTTGGATCCCCTCCTCATCAAATGCTGCAGTGTGTAGAGGCTGACAACACCAGTCCATAAACGCTTGGATCCCCTCCTCATCAAATGCTGCAGTGTGTAGAGGCTGACAACACCAGTCCATAAACGCTTGGATCCCCTCCTCATCAAATGCTGCAGTGTGTAGAGGCTGACAACACCAGTCCATAAACGCTTGGATCCCCTCCTCATCAAATGCTGCAGTGTGTAGAGGCTGACAACACCAGTCCATAAACGCTTGGATCCCCTCCTCATCAAATGCTGCAGTGTGTAGAGGCTGACAACACCAGTCCATAAACGCTTGGATCCCCTCCTCATCAAATGCTGCAGTGTGTAGAGGCTGACAACACCAGTCCATAAACGCTTGGATCCCCTCCTCATCAAATGCTGCAGTGTGTAGAGGCTGACAACACCAGTCCTGTACTGGTTTCTTATTCTTTTTCAGCTTTCCACTAGTGCTCTTCAGTGGCAAAAATATAAACACCCTAACCTGCACAGTTTGTGTTGGCAGCACAAGCTTAAACCCTCAGGCTCTCCCTCTTAAAGACCGCCCAAAAGTGGTAAAATCAAAGACCGCCCAAAAGTGGGAAAATCAAAGACTGCCCAAAAGTGGTAAATACAGGAGGTAATGATAGTTATACAAGCATAAAACTACATGACATTGACAACACTTCATGATACAGGTAGGCTAGAATTATTAGTAGTAATCTAAACAAAACTATCCTGTTCAACCCATCTATAAGTTAGCTTTTACGCATGTCTGACAGCATGACATAAGCCACAGATTCTTAACTGTAAAACACAAACAAAATATTAACATGTCTAGGAAAGTGACAATCTGCGTATATGTAATCTACTGTACTTTTTTATAACTGAAACATACACAAAAAGTAACATAACCATTTTAAAAACAACAGACATGTAAAATGACATTAACTTTTTTTAAACAACATAATTCAAATCTGACAACAGCATTAATTATACTGAATTGAATTTCAATCATCATTATCCTCATGTTTTTAAGTAAAAATATAAAGATGATTACAGCTATTTACATATACTGTGGATGATATGTGTGCACAGCACACTCGGACAAGGCTGGTAAAATGTAGTATAATGTTTCACAAAATACAATATTCATATTCAAGATTACAGTAAAACATTAAACAATGCTGAAAGCCATGGTAAGTTTACATAAAACTGTTTAAAAGCAAAGTGTTTGCATGTAAGATACAATGTGGAACAAATCATTCAAGGTCTGAGAACATATAACATGTACTTAAAAGTATTGAATGTTTATAGAGTAAAAAACAAGCAATTACAATCAAAACAGATCATTTATAAATGCATAAAAAAAAAAAATTACGTTGTAACAACATTTCCACAAAAGAGCAAATTGTACTATGGGATCTCCACAGTGCAATCGTTAAGCTATTTGCTTTGAATTCTGAAGGTTGCAGATTAAATTTTAGACTTTTGGTTCGTAAGGTAGTAGTAGTAATTTTTCAAAAATATCCTATTGAACCCTCAGGGTTATAACTGGGATATATAGTGTTAATTAATTTCTTAGAGTATATATTTATTTTATATTTACATATAGCGTAATTATTTAAATGACAGATATGTCAATTGTATTGTTTTATATTTTGCTTTAACTTGAGTTATGATTATGATAGAAACTGTAAAATGAAAAATTAGACAATCTTACCAACATTGTGTCATCAACATTTTGGATTTAGTGAAATAGTTGGTTCGTAAGGACAAGTGTTTCTGAGATCCATGGTGATCACTGATGGAGTATCAGAATTTGTACTTTGTGCAATGCTCTTGCAGACGACAATCTGCTCTGTAGACAGAGACCAAGCCTTTTGGTATAAATCATCATCAATCATAGTCCCATAACACTTTGTTGTTGGGTCACCAACTGCCGTTGACTGTTTGATCACTTCCCTCCACCACCATCAGTCAGATGCTGTGGATTTGATGCCTGAGGCCCAAGTCAGCCAAATTCTGTATCAGGATCCTCCCAGTCTGCCTCTTCTCCTCTAAGGATCTTTTACAGTAACATTCTGGAGAGGCCAGTAGATACTGTTCATATCCACCACACAACTGCATTTTCCGTCTTCTTTTTTTTCCTCCTGTTGTTAAAAGATAATGGTCTCTGTAGAGTTTGATAAAGACAATGGTGAAATTGGCTGCATTCGACTGTTGCCTTCTGATTTTCCTGTCAATGTGATAAAACCTGGCACAATGTAGTTGATCAACTTGCTTGTTATTTTCTTGCTTGTTACTTTTTAACTTGTTACCCACATCAAAATAATTCTAGCACATGGGCCCACTGCACCCCAAACAAGTCACTAATCACTTCCTTAATCAAAAATTTTTCAGCTTTCACTTAAAAGCCTGAGTTGATTAGAACAGCCACTATATAAGAGGTTTCCAAACTGTTTGTCACGACACATCAGTGCAGGACTTTTTAACTGAGTTTATTACCCACTGGCCAAAATGCTGAAAATGTAGAAAGCATAGAAATCTATATTTTTATTATAAATGAAATGTTTTTATAAGATAAACTGTGTCATAAAACATTTTGTTATTATAATTTATGTATGTGTCTGTATCTCGTGTGAGGTGTTAGTTCAACCACTCTGGTTACTGAGTTACTGCGTCACAAAATTACTTCTGTCTAATACAATGGTCTCCAGCCTAGGAAGTGCGCCCCTCCTGAAGGTGGAGGGGGAAGACAAGCAGGTTTCAAGGCGGGCTTCAAACTTTTTTGAAAGTGAGTGAATCTGTATTTTTAACAATCCGTTGAACCTTTTGTTTTAGTTCAATTATAAATGAATATAAAAAAAAAAAAAAACTATTTATTAAACAAAATGACAAGAACATTTTTGTTTTTGAGAGCAGTTTGTACATCTAATTAATATGATAACTGGAGCATTTAATTATAGATTATAAACACATTCTGACCAAAATGTATCTCCATACTTTATGTTTCACTTGTTGCGGAGTCTATTGAGCTTTTTTTAATTGCATTTTGTTATGTTGAAGGAAGGGGGCATATGTGTATGGGGGTCTTGCAATATACTCAAGGGACGCAATGGGGGAAATTTGCCATTCACTTAAGGGGACACGACCTGAAAAAAAAAGCTTGGAGACCAGTGTTCTAAAAAAAAGTGTGTCAAAACATGAAAGGTTTGGAAAGCTCTGCACTAAGTGAATGGTGACTAGTGCTGAGTGTGCTGAGGCAGGTTTAGTTAACAAACAAAAAGAATTATCGGGCAAAACATTTGTACACCACAAGAGAGTCAAAGCTATAAGTCAGATTTGAGTGCATGTGGATTTGCACTTGAGGCAACAGATCACATGCCGCAATATAGGCAGGCCATACATATGGCCAAATGTCTGAACGCGGTTTCTGGGACCTCTCCACGGCGATCCTCATCCACATGGTGGCACTTTGTGTCATCGGGTGTTTATCGCTTGTGTGATGTCCTGGTGGGGTAGAAATTCAGTTCAGTTCAGTTCATCCTCCAAGAATGTCCCAAATACAATATATTGAGGCAAAACTTCTGGCCAAAAGAAACACTGGTGGAAGCTTCCTAGTGAATAAAAAAACAAACAAACTGATATGCATACTAAAGACAACATTGCAGATATAGATAACTTATCTCAAGTGAATGAAAGAAGAAGAAGCAGATAGATATGATTCCATGATGACTGCAGATGACCAGTAGTAGATTCTGTACAACCCATGTGGACAGCAGAAAAATAAGCTTGCAATTAATGCTTTTCAGATCACCTGGATGGTGTAAAGATTTCATTCATACAGGGATACAGCAAAGACCTCCACTACTCAATTAGTTATGTTTGCACAAGAATGAAAAATCTGAACTCGTTGAAGCACTTTACTACATTTTTTAAACGTGTAGACTGAGCATACCAGACATTGTGAAGACCCATCTCAAAACTACACATCATCAATTGTGAAGACTCATCTCAAACTACACATCATCAATTGTGAAGACCTATCTCAAAACTGCACATCATCAATTCTGACAACTCATCTCAAAACTGCACATCATCAATTGTGAAGACCCATCTCAAACTACACATCATCAATTGTGAAGACCTATCTCAAAACTGCACATCATCAATTCTGACAACTCATCTCAAAACTGCACATCATCAATTGTGAAGACCCATCTCAAACTGCACATCATCAATTCTGAAGACCTATCTCAAAACGGAACATCATCAATTCTGAAGTCCTATCTCAAAACTGCATGTCTTTAATTCTGCCTTACAACATAAAAAAAGAAAGTGAAAATAACACGAAAATAAAGTAAAAAACAAAAATAATACACAATAAAATAGGTACGATGAGAGTAAAATATGCTAAACGATTTGTCTACATGCTGTCTACACTCTGACTATCATGTCTTTACCTTGTTAGACATTCCCCCCACAGTTAAACTTTTTTTTTTATTTTTTTATTAAAACACAACTGGAAGAAACTCAGTTCTATTTAGTGTTCTTCTTGAAGCAAGTTTTGTTTTTGTTAGTTTACTAAGTCTTCTAAAACAGAAGTGGCTAGATAACTTAAAACAGGTAATTTAAAACTAATTGCTGGATAAGATGCATTAGGAGAAACTTATGGAAAGAATTTCATGCGTAAAAGCTCAGCCTATTCTGGTTGACTTTTAGCTGAGAAAAACTTGTAAAACACCGGCTACTTTAATTGTCAAGAGACTCCGGGGTGAAAGGTGACATCCTTGGCTGCAGGATCATAGAAACCAGCCACATAGAACACATCTGACTTGAGTGACCTCCCCTTCTTTGAAGCATTGCTGACTCTCTTCTTGTACTGGGAGTAAGAGAGCACTTCACACTTGTGAGCTATCGTCTGAACATCATTCTCATCCTCATGCTGCGACTCAAACAGAGCATTCTGTGGACATCAATGGATTTATATCAACAAATACTTAGAGTAAATCTCCAAGTTCTTCTTCACATTCAACGGCTGCAAACTCGAGGAAAGTTCCTGTTGTTTGCACACTTCTGGCTTTATTTATAGGAATTTCTATGTCATATTTGTCTTAACCGGCTCCAGTGGCTACCTAGTGACCGACTCAAGGAAGTGTAATGCTATAAACAGTTTACAGGCTCCAAGAGATGTATGGCAGTTGATTCTATACTATATTTGCTTTTATAAATTACTTTGTGTAGTAGGTGTCGCTGGTGTGACATGTTAAATGGTTGTTGTTTGTTTTTGCAAAGAATTTTTTCCAGGAACATCCGAAAAATAGAATGTATGGGAGCTTGGTTTTTTTCCTAGGTGACTGGGGCAAAAGTTTTGAGGGTTTTCCGGAATCAAATGTGTTGAGCTACAAAAAAAAAATGGTGTAGATATCAAGCCGGGCTGTAAACTGTAATACAACAAACCATTTGCCCTTTAAATGGTGAAAGCAGAAGAAGAAGAAAAAGAGAAAGAAGAAGAAGAAGAAAAAGATTGGAGAAGAAAAACAAGGGCTTTTTTATGGCAGTATGCAATGGTATGCATTATTTTTTTTTTTCTAAGCACCATTTTCTTTCAGCACTACTTTAATAGATGTTTTAGGCTACCGACACTGTTTTTTTAGTGAGCAGCAGCAGCACTTTTGTTTATGGAAGAAAAAATCCCTGAGAAAAACCACTAAGTATCACCCAAACCAGAAGGTTATTGCAACTGACAAGAAAAATATCAGTCGGCATCTACAATAACTGTTCTATAATGTAGGCCCATGCGTGCGTACATACCTTAGGGTCTGCCAGCTTCTTGTTGGATTCTGTTTCCTCAGGGTGATAATACCACTGCACCTTGACCATCATCTGGCCATTCCAGCCCTCCCACAGGCTCTCAATATGGCCAATGTATGGACAGTTGACTCGCTCTTTGGATACAAACACCGCAGAATCTCCAACTCTGATTGTCTCCCTGCCTCTGTTAATTGCTTTGTAAAAAATCTTTTTGGCCTTGCCCTTCAGACCTGGTCTTTTAGTGCTCTTGCCGTCCCACCTCCAAGTCTCTCGTCCAACAGCGGCTGTCAGAAACAGAATATTTCCACATTTAACAGTCATCAAATCGCAACAATACTGTACTTGAAACAAATAATAATAATTTAACTTAAGTTAAAATCCGCATTTAAACAGTGTTAAAAAACACATGACCTTGGCTCCCAGGCTGACCCAGCCTTACATGGGTACCAGAGTCCTGGGAAGTAAAAGTGGCCGGCCTGATGTTAACCACATCAACCACTGAGTGCTGCTGGTCTATAAAATATATGTCTAGCCCTATATGCTTAATACACCTAAGGGTGCGGGCAAGGTGGGTGTGGGCAAGGTCCTTTACTTTACTTATAACGTAGTACATACTCTTAATAATAAAACCAACAATGTTTTTAATAACAAATATTTTTATAATAAGACAAACAATAAATTTAACAACAGCTTTCATGATTAAAAAAAACCACAACACTGTAAATGACAGATTTGATAATAATAATAATAAAAACAATTATACTTTTGACAATAGATTAGATAATAATAGAACCAACAATACTTTCAACAATAGATTAGATAATAATAGAACCAACAATACTTTTAACAATAGATCTTATTATAATTAAACCAACAATAAATCTCTCAAAAATATCAATAAGATAAGGAAAAAGAATGAGAGGACCAAGGAAACAGAAGAAGAGAGAAGAAGCAATAGGAATTTTCTGAGAACACAAACACACTCTAGCAGTAAACAGATAAAACTAACCTTTTCTATCAGAATTATCAGCATCTGAATCATCACTATCCTCACCCTTGTCTTCATCCTGTTTATCCACATCCTCTTTAGAATGTCTGCTTGATCTTGGTTCATTATCCACAGACTTTCTCCTGTCTGATGCATCAGATGTTGACCTCTGCTTTCTTCTCGGCAGAGACTCCAAGGGATCAGGCTCATACTCTGTTGAAGCACATTTTGTTTTATCAAAAGAAGTTGGTCAAAGTGACTGGTCATAAATGAGATCCTTCAATCAGAGGCTGGTTAGTACTTAAAATAAGTCTTGTAACTAACTTCTCATGGAAACAGTAAACAGAAGTACTTTGGGAGCGAGTGCAGCCACAGAGGACTGACAACGCATGGAAATTCCCAATGTGCAGTGATGTCATTTCTGATAAAAGAGGTCAAGGTCATTTTTCACACTATGAGAAGAAGCACATTTAGGATATTGCGACAATACTTTTTCCCTCTGCTCTATAAAATCTCACTGCATTCTCTGTAGCTATAGGAACAAATGGCTACCGGCTTGTTGGGCCTGTCCCAACTTTATGAGAGCCACACTGACCAGGATGCTTTGGGTTGACCCAGGGTGGTCTTCATGGCTACCGTTGCTGCCCTATGGCACAAGGCTAACCACACTTCCCTCAACCCCAACAATACTCTACTTAACAATAACACCAGGGAAACTTCAAATGTATGATGTGTCTATGATCAAGGTGGCTGGCCAGAACAGCAGGAAGCAGAACCTTATTATCTCCCTTGATGCCCAAAGCAGTAAAAGAGGAAGTTAAGAAGAAGAAGAGAAAGATCTATAAAATTCTAACATTTAAGACAAAATGCCTAATTTGGGATCATTTTCTCTCTAAGGCTATGCTAATCCAAATCAACAGTTGCAGAAACATAATTAAATGCATGAGTGTGCAATATGGTGAAATAAATTAAAAACTAAGATCTTGCAGAGTCTGATGTCTGGAATCTAATATTTACCAACAACAGGAAAATCAGATGGCAACAGACGAATGTGGTCAATTTCAATTCTTCCATTGTCTCCATCATCGAATTCCACAGAGACCATTATCTTTTTACCACTGCTCATCGGGCTGGCTGTAAAGAAAAGAAGAAATAACATATATGTAAATCAGATTCACTTCACAATGATATGATATTCAGAAGTGAATACTGAAATATGCGTTGCCAGTAACCTCATCCCATCTCGATCCTCTTGTACCCTGGGGTGTCGAGGTGAAGTATAATCTGCAGGAAAGCTCCCATCAGTGTGCTTTATAAATAGAGATTCCCAGAGACTCTCTCTGTCCATCGTTTTGATGACTGACCACTTCGCCACTTCCCGGGTGGTCTGTACATCATTGCTTCAAAGAGAGTGAGAGTCTATGACTGATATCCATAAGTTATGGCGCTGTGATTTTTGTCTACGTACATCCTGTAAACCAAATGTTGTTATCGCGGCGTTGAGGTACATCATGACAGCCACTATCAGCCAGCTGGGTAGGCTCAAATGTCCGACAAAGATTCGTCTTATGGCACACAAGCAAATAATCAATGTCTGACCCTCATGAATCCTACTAACTGGCAGAAAGATTCAAATTTCTGTATCCATCGGCCTATTGCCCGAGGTTTGGGATGAAACAGGTGAAGACACGCTGATGCATGCCTCTCCCTACTACAGTGCTAAGTGCACAATTGAACCAACATTAATGTGTCTAACATGATGAAGAAGAATGAACCCATTTATATGGTCAGCAAAGTCCTGGACCTGCGGGCTGCTCCCTGTTGATCTCTGGAGGTTGGAGCCAATGATAAGTGGATAGCTCAACAGATGGTTGTGAGGTTAAGCAGTCCATGTGCAGGACGTGACGATTCCTTCGGTGAGCCCAGAATGAGAGCATCATGTGTTAGCTCAGCATTTATGGAAGCCTCCTTGGATGGCAGGGAATGCCTTTGATCTGGCCCTGCCTTCCCTTGAGAGCTGTCACAAGACTAACCTGTTCTTATTGCAGAAAGACAACTATAAGACCACTTTGATCACACGCTGAATATTTTCACATTTCAGATCTATCCAAACCCAAAAACTGTTTTCAGTACTTTCTGGCAAAGTAAAATCCTCAAAATTTTACAACTATAAATAGTGGTCCAAGGACGTTATGTTGAGAAGCTTGCTCTCCTATGATATAGGCCTGGCCAAATCGGAAGGAGCTGAAGCAAAGGAGGAAATATCAGAAATGAACGAGCAAGAAGAACACAGTTGACAACAGGATAGGGAATGTGCAGTCTGACTTGGAGGAAAGAAGCAGTAAGTCCAGAGACGGCGCAAACAGTAGAAATTTAGCCACAAAAGTGGCGCAAATAAACAAGACCACAAATATAGCCGGAGACTTGGCAGCTTTGGCTAGCTAGCAGCAGGTTGAATGTGGTTGAGTTTTTGATTTTTTCTTAAAAGGAATTAGAATTGAGGGGTGTTCAGTCTACACGCAGTTTCCCTAAGGGGGTTCTCTGGCAGAAACATCTGTAGATAAAGGGACAAAGAGAATACCACAAAAATGAGGCCACATCATGTCCCACGAAACAATGGCCAGTCGTCCTAGAGATAGGATGCACGTCTTCCTTCGAAGTCTGAGTACATCTGCCCGAGAGGCAGGGAACAAGAATTGCACACAAAAAAGCCAGTAAAATGGATGTACACGCAAAACTCAGGTCTTCGTACAAAGCCAAAAGTCCAAATGCGTGAACAGCCAGGACTTTCTCCCAGAATTAACAGCCCCTGAACAAGAAGAAGAAGAAGAAGACGAATATCCATAAGTTGGCCATGGGAAAAATCAATCAATCAGGTGCCATCTCCACAATGAAGGTTGGCTGCAATGGATCTCCAACAAGCCCTGTCTCTTGCCCTTGATGTACACTCCCTCATACTGCTAATAGTCCATCTCTTGATGCTATTCTCCCACTTGTAACGCTGTCTGCCTCTTGCTCGCCTACCTTGAACCTTTCCCTCTAGGATGATCTTTACAATACTGTTATGTCTTTTAATGTGGCCAAAATATTTCACTTGTCTCTTTTTTATTTCACCTAGCAACTCTCTTTTCATTCCCAATTTCCTCAGTACCTCTGTATTTGATAGCTTTTGTTTCCATGAAATACGACCTAATCTTCTGTATATCCACATCTCCAAAGAATTGATACGATTTTCCAGTTGTTTGTGTGGGAAAAATGCATTATTTTAAAACTTTTACTGAAACTTACTCACAGGCGCTATGTTATGGGTTCTTCATGTTGTTTAGCCTCTGCGTTGCTAAAGCGAGTCATTTTCTTAAGTCCATTGTACAGTAACCATTGTCGTTCCTTACTAAGCCTAAATATGAATACTGTCACTAAAGATAGCATTCAGAGAGGTTTCCTAGTGACCCACAAGACTTTTTTTGTTCTTTGTTCCCTAAGCTGATGTTAAAATCCCCCCCCCCCCCCCCCCCTCCCCCTCATTTAGTGATGGAAATCATACAGGGTTATGGCATAAGTTATGCAATGTCTTCTGATTTTTTTAACGCCTTGAAATATATTCCATTTAATGCTTTACCCTGTTCGTTGTTGATTCATTGACCCTTTATATACCTTTATATACTGCCAATTTAACACACACACACAAAATTAAATATGTAAATACGTTTAAAAAAAATATATTAATAAACTCTTGAATATGTTGTTTTTCCCCAAGGAGTCCAAAACACACACAAATTCCTAAGGGTTTATGACCCATAATTTGTTTAGGCATTCATAAGACAAAATAGTTAAGTTTATTTGGAAAAAAACAAAAAAAACAAACAAGGGACATACATTTGGCTACAGTTCCCGGGTAGAGACAAGAGAACTGCTGGCTCCAAAATGCACAAACCCGTGTCCCTTCTGAGAGGCAGCGTACACTGCTTGGCTTCACATCCAGCACCTGTTAGATACCATAGTAGTTTTAAAATATATATACCATCAATACATGACATTAATAACTGACTTTTTTAGTAGGCAAAAAGAATCAGGGAAGCTTAAAAAAACACATGAAGAAGAGACAGATTTGAATCATTTCCCTAAGGTTGCAGATAGCTGCAGGTTATAGCAAAAGACAGTTTGGCAAAGTGTCGGCTGAGCGGTAATGATCTAATAGATCTTCTTCGCGTTCACCAGCTGTTAACTCTGGCGGAAAGTTCTGGTTGCTCATCCGACTGCAGTTATGTTCCAGAACCTGAGTGTTGCGTGTGCATCCGTTTTACAATTGTGACTCATTTGTATGCAGACTGCTGGTTCCTTGCATCTCAGGCAGATGCACTTCAACTTTGAAGGAAGCTCCCAATTAGTCGACTCTCACGACATGCTTTTGGGTAGGCAGTGGGTCTATTCTTGGTTCCCTATAATAGGGCCCCAGAACCAACACAGGGATAATGGAAGATACAAGGCAGAAGAATTTTTAAACTTAAACAGCCATGTATGAAAACTCACTGAATTTCTGATCAACACATAGATAATTGATCCTATCTTACAGGAGTTAGAAGGTCAGTTTGTCCGAGATTGTCAAGTTTGGTCAATTTACTAAATTTTAGAGTTTTCGAAAGATGGCTAAGTTCTTGGGTTACTGCATTACACAGAATAATCTCTTATAGAAATGATGTTTCCAAGGTAAGATCTTGTATGTCATAAACTGTTTAAACAGCTCTATTCTCAGTTTTAACTGAGAATTTGTAGTCCTACTATAGTACTTAACATAAACATTCAACTAATCAGACTCAAGGAGCTGCAGCCGCTAGACACGTGCCTGCATATCTGAAGGTCGTGGGTTCAAATCCCAGTGGTGCTCAAAATTTTTTTTAAATGACCATGGCTCCCAGGTCAACACAGCTTTAAACAAGTACCAATTAAAAGTCCTGGGAAGTAAAGGCGGCTGGCGGGATGCTTTTTAAATCACCCATCAAGTGCTTATTGGTATATAAAATATACGTCTAGCCATATATGCTTAGAAAAAGGGTCTTTTACGTATACTTTACTGATTAAACTTTAAAGTATTATCGTCACCAAGTGCTTTGCCAGTTGGTGTATTCCTTCATGCATCTCCGTTTTGGTGTTCTGGATCAATTTCACTGATAATATTCCTCCATGTCATTGTCTTAAGCCATCCACCATCATTTCTCTTGGTCTTCCTCTGTCTCGTCTACCAGTGATCTTTTCAGTCATTACAATATTTTCCAGTGCTCCTTTTCTTATCACATAACCTAAGAATTTTGTTTGTCTCCTTCTTGTTGTTGTATATAATGTACTTTCATTAGCCATTTCCAGGCAATCATTGTTAGTTATTCTGGCAGTCCAAGGTATTCGCAAAATTCTTCTCAAGAACCACATCTCAGCTGCCTCCAAACTCTTCTTTCTTTGTTTGTTTGCTCACATTCCAAGATACACTGCCTTTAAAGAATTCATTCAAAACATATTTAATTCCCAAGTTTCAACAGATGCTCTCACATTTTCTACAGGTAAACTAATACAAGAAAGCAAAAATGAAAAATGTTCACAGCTTACAGCCCATTTGAGAATTTCCTCCAGGCAGAGAATGTGAGGTCTGTTTCCCCTCTGCCCAGCTGTCAGCACACCATAACTAGGAGAGAGGATAGCAAACATGATATTGCAGAATATACAAGTGTTGGCGTTCAGCATATACAACTACATTAAAACTTTGTTAACATGAATTCCTAGCGACAGAAAATGACGTCCGTGTTTGACGTTGTTTGATGTGGGTTCCATGGCCCCATTTGGGGGTTGAGGGGTTTGGGAGGGGTGGAGATAGAACCACTGCCTCAAAACAAGCAACTGCCAAATGCATCTACAACATGTGCATATTTCTGGATTGTTCCAGAACAACTGTTTGTTCGCCAGTTTTTTTTTCTCAAATGGGACAATAAGGAACATTGCATTTGATTTGTACTGCCACAGGGAGGGAGCAACTATGGGGTGAGCCGACTGCAGTCAAGTTGAAACCTTGACTAAGACTAATACTAAAGACTAAGACTAAGACTAATACTAAAGACTAATACTAAAGACTAAGACTAAGACTAATACTAAAGACTAAGACTAAGACTAAGCATGTGCTGGTAACAGTAGACTAATTAGGGGTTTCATTCTAAGTGGCAGTGCATCTGCCTGAGAAGTAAGGAAATAACAGTTTGCAAACAAAGAAGCCAGATCTGTGAAATGAATGTGCAAACAAAGAAGCCAGATCTGTGAAATGAATGTGCAAACAAAGAAGCCAGATCTGTGAAATGAATGTGCAAAGAAAGAAGCCAGATCTGTGAAATGAATGTGCAAACAAAGAAGCCAGATCTGTGAAATGAATGTGCAAAGAAAGAAGCCAGATCTGTGAAATGAATGTGCAAACAAAAGTCAAGTTCTGGAACAAGTATGTAGTCCAGAAGTGGATGAACAATCAAAACTTATGGAAGAAAATAAGGGCTTTTGAGCTGAAATGCTATAGAAAGATTCTCAGAATGCCATGGACAAAGAGGAAAAGAAATAATGACATCTTTAAAGATCTAAACATCAGGGAAGGTTGGCTAATTAGCAGCATTTTGTCTCGGAAGCGGAAATATTTTGGCTAGAAAAACGGCACACTGGACTGGAAAAAATTACAGCAGAAGGCACGGTAACAGAAGCCAACCAGCATGAAAGTGGGCACAGGATGTAAGTAATTCCTTGGGTATGAATGAACAAGTGGCAGGAGACTGGGTGAGAGACTGAGTTTCTTTCTGGCAGACCTTGAAGAGGGCGACATTCTGCAAAAGACCTGCTTAATAATGATGATGCACACATACACATGTGCACACTCACACAGAGCGCTGTAACAGGGACCAGAATGGGAAGCAAAGATAGTAGCACCTGCACCTACCAGTCAGTCAGTATCATGTCCTTTGCAGAACCCTGCTCCCATAACAATCTTTCAGAAAACTTCTTGATCACAAACAAGATGCCCCGTGTCCTATACACCCATCTGGAGATCATCCACCACATCCTGCACCCATCTTCTCTTTGGCTTTTCTCTTCCTCTCTTCCCAGGCATATACCCCTCCATTATTGTTCTCTCTAAACTTTCTGCACCTAACAGACATGCAGAATGGCACAAAGGGTAGAGTTTGACATGTTGAATGTTAAATTAAGAATTGACATCACAGCACTTGTGACACTCCCATAAGTGCTCCATCCCTATCTTCAGCAGCAGGTGAAGAGTTCCAATTCCGATGGCCCCAGTAACCCTACTTAGGTTAGACCTGACATTGGATCATCATGTAAAACACTATAGCCATAAAAACGATGCAACCATGGAAAAGACTTTAAAAAAAAAATTGATTAGTAATACACAGCAAAACAACACAAGGGAAGGCTCTCTTACAGAAAATGATGACATGGTACTGAGAAAGCTGAGAAAAACTCTGAAACAAGACAATAATCCAGGAATTGTTGAAATACCAGAACTTTCCACCGGAGTTTACAGCCGGTGAACAAGAAAAATAAGAAGATATAAACAAACATGAACACTTACACATCTGGTGGCTGCAGGGCCTTGACAGTGCCTTCATGAAAGAGGCCATCGATGAGGTACAAGACTTTCAGGCCCTCCCTGAGATCTGCCTGTTGTAGTTTGCAGGATCGGGGCTCTGAGTGGGAGAGACAAAATATGACTTGACTAGGGTCAGCTACAGAGTCAGTAGCATATAAGCACTATCCTCATCCTAATTATCATCAAGTGCTCTGCCAAATTTGAGGAAATCATGCTTGTTCACATTCGGTATAACTATAATCAGCGGAGAAAGGTGGGAGAGATTAAGAGAAAAAGAAATTAAGAAAATATGACACAGAAAGGGGAATAGAGAGGGTGGAAGTAAGAGAGAAAAAGAAATTAAGAAAATGAGACAGAAAAGCAAAGAAAAGGGACAGAGAAAGAAACAGAAAGGGTGGGAGTGAAAGAGAGGAAGAAATAGAGAGAGTGATAGAGAGAGAAGGAAACGTGACAGAAAGAAAGGGGAAAAGGAGAGAAGACAGAGAAAGAAAGGAAATTTAATGACAAGGAGGGAAGGGAAGAGAGAGGGAGGAAAAGAGAGTGAAAATAGAGAGACCAGCGGATACACAGAGAAAATAAAAAAGACATACAATTATCAGAGGCTCCCAGTGTGGGCTCTAGGGCTCCATTGTGGGGAAAACAAGAATTGACCCACTGCCTCCCCAACTAGTATGTTGTAGGAGTCGACAAATTGGGCACCTCTTTTGAAGTCAGAGTGCATCTGCCTGAAGTGCAAGGAACTAACAGTCCCCATACAAAAAGTGCATGCAACACTCAGGTTCTGGAACACAACTACAATACAGAGATGGATGAACAACCAGAACTTTCCAATGGAATTTACAGCCGGTGAAGGTGAAGAAGAATATATGGCTATGTATGTAGGTCCAATAGAGAGAAGAATGACAAACAGATAGAAAGCTGGATGGGGTGCTTTTCCTGAATGGACCAACAAGTGGAAATACAAACCTAAAGATAGCATTTGGTAATGATGAATTGTAAAAAAAATACAATTTAACTAATAACTTTATGTAAACAGGAGAGAATTACTGATAAACCAGATACAAACATCAAACAACCTTAGAACAAAACATTAAGGAAACAGTATGTGTACATTAGGTAAACAGGGTAAATGCTACAGAAGTAAACAGAACAGATACTAAACAAATAGGACAGAAACTCTTATGTAAACAGAACAAATATTTCACCAACAGGACAGAAACTGGGTAAACAGAACATACTAAATCAACAAGTCAGAACTTTAAGTAAACTGAACAGAAACTATTAAGTAAACAGAAGCAGAACTTTAAGTAAACTGAACAGAAACTATTAAGTAAACAGAATGGAATCACTAAGGAAATAGAATAGATACTAAACTAATAAGTCAGAACTTAAAGTAAACAGAAAAAAAACTCCCAAGTAAAAAAGAATAGATACTTAACAGGACAGAAAAACTAAATAAACAGGACAGAAACTAAGTAAAAAGAACAGATACTAAACAAATAGGACGCGGACACTAAGTAAAAAGAACAGATACTAAAAAATAGGACGCGGACCCTAAGTAAAAAAAACAGATACTAAACAAATAGGACGCGGACACTAAGTAAACTGAACAGATACTAAACTAGGACGCAGACACTAAGTAAACTGAACAGATACTAAACTAGGACGCGGACACTAAGTAAACTGAACAGATACTAAACTAGGACGAAGACACTAAGTAAACTGAACAGATACTAAACTAGGACGCAGACACTAAGTAAACTGAACAGATACTAAACAAATAGGACACAGACGCTAAGTAAACTGAACAGATACTAAACTAGGACACAGACACTAAGTAAACTGAACAGATACTAAACTAGGACACAGACACTAAGTAAACTGAACAGATACTAAACTAGGACACAGACACTAAGTAAACTGAACAGATACTAAACTAGGACACAGACACTAAGTAAACTGAACAGATACTAAACTAGGACACAGACACTAAGTAAACTGAACAGATACTAAACTAGGACGCAGACACTAAGTAAACTGAACAGATACTAAACAAATAGGACACAGACGCTAAGTAAACTGAACAGATACTAAACTAGGACACAGACACTAAGTAAACTGAACAGATACTAAACAAATAGGACACAGACGCTAAGTAAACTGAACAGATACTAAACAAATAGGACACAGACGCTAAGTAAACTGAACAGATACTAAACAAATAGGACACAGACGCTAAGTAAACTGAACAGATACTAAACTAGGACACAGACACTAAGTAAACTGAACAGATACTAAACAAATAGGACACAGACGCTAAGTAAACTGAACAGATACTAAACTAGGACACAGACACTAAGTAAACTGAACAGATACTAAACAAATAGGACACAGACGCTAAGTAAACTGAACAGATACTAAACAAATAGGACACAAAGTAAACTGAACAAATACTAAACAAATAGGACAGAGACTCTAAGTAAACTGAACAGATACTAAACAAATAGGACACAGACACTAAGTAAACTGAACAGATACTAAACAAATAGGACACAGACGCTAAGTAAACTGAACAGATACTAAACTAGGACACAGACACTAAGTAAACTGAACAGATACTAAACAAATAGGACACAAAGTAAACTGAACAAATACTAAACAAATAGGACACAAAGTAAACTGAACAGATACTAAACAAATAGGACACAGACGCTAAGTAAACTGAACAGATACTAAACAAATAGGACACAGACACTAAGTAAACTGAACAGATACTAAACAAATAGGACACAGACACTAAGTAAACTGAACAGATACTAAACAAATAGGACACAGACACTAAGTAAACTGAACAGATACTAAACAAATAGGACACAAAGTAAACTGAACAGATACTAAACAAATAGGACACAAAGTAAACTGAACAGATACTAAACAAATAGGACACAGACACTAAGTAAACTGAACAGATACTAAACAAATAGGACACAGACACTAAGTAAACTGAACAGATACTAAACAAATAGGACACAAAGTAAACTGAACAGATACTAAACAAATAGGACACAAAGTAAACTGAACAGATACTAAACAAATAGGACACAAAGTAAACTGAACAGATACTAAACAAATAGGACACAAAGTAAACTGAACAAATACTAAACAAATAGGACAGAGACTCTAAGTAAACTGAACAGAAATTCTAAGGAAAAGAACAGATACGAAGCCAACAGGGCAGAAGCTCCGATAACTACTCACCTGGAGTAGGGGAGATCATTCTGTATGAAACCAGGGGAATATTGTCCGTATCACTGGAGTCAGTACTAATCTTCCTTTTCTTCTGTCCTGGTTTAGACATCTTGTTTATCTACAATAACAACAACAATATGAAACAGCTGGATAATGCTGCCTGCACCTGCAACAATAAAGTATGTGTCGTTCACGCTTATTATTATTTATGAGGACTGTCTCCTTGCCTTTCAGTGATCATACAAAAGCACATATGACTGGAGACCTGACTAGAGAAAGAGAGACTTACGGGCGTGGCTTGATGACAGCGACATTCTCTGAAGGACCTGCTGGCTGACGTTTCTAATTTTCTTCTGAATGTGTTTCTTAGATCTTTCTCTATTGTTGTTGTTGCTTTGTGTGTGTGTGTGTGTGTGTGCGCGCGCGCGCGTGCGTGCGTGTGTGTGTGTGTGCATGCGTGCGTGTGTGCGCGCGTGTGCATTGAGGAAGAGGGGCAAGGGGTTGATATAAGACCTAGTTATAATACTGACAGATTTGTGAGTGTGTGATGCATGCGTGTCATCTCTAGTGCTACACTTAATGAAGAGTGACTGCAGTGTACTAACAGCAAACAAATGACATTCCCTCGGTTAATGATCAGATACCTGTGACACATGATACACTATTATCATGTGCTTTGCCGGGTGTTGCTCAAATCTTCCCAAAAACCTCCCTCCTGGATGTTCTGGATAATTTCTGCAGATGAAATTCCTCCATGTGATCATCCCAGACCACACAACTTCCCTTCTTTTAGTATGTCTCTTCTGCCTTTTTTCTTTCTAGTCTTTACAATTGTCTCAAATGCCTCTTCTCTCATCACATGACCAAGGAGCACTGTTTGTTCCTCTCTTATCGTTGTGTATAATGTTATATTTTCATTAGATTTTTTCCACATTCATCCATTAGTTACTCTGGCTCTCTAAAGCAGAGAGACATGAATGTCTATGGCATCTCCAAACCACAATCACAATAAATGCAGTTTTTTAAAATCTGCTTCTCAAGCAGTGTGTAAATAATGACTAACCAAAAAAAAGTATGCGGAATGCAGAGGTATTGAACCACACAAGGCGGTGCACCAACTACAACCAAAGCTCATTTATACTGGTCAGTCCTGTTTATGCCTCATAGTGGTCATCCTAGTAACAAGGGGACTGACAAATGTAGATAAGATTGACATTTCCTTTAAAGTTGGCTTGCGCATCTGCCTGAGAGGCAAAGAACTTAGTCTGCATACAATAAGCCAGATCTGTAAAATTGATGAGCACGCAACACTCAAGCCTTGGAACAAGACGAAAGCTCAGAAGTTCACGAACAACCAGGAATTTCCCAAAAAATTTATAGTAAGTGAATGTGATGAAAAAGTAGAAGAAAACAGCATGCTCTTTGTTCTTCATCATCATCATTATCAGGTGCCTTGCCAACTGGTGTGGGTGATCATGCCTCTCCATAATCCACGATCTCCTGCAGCATGAATCAGTTTATGTGCCAACACACCTTCATGCCATGCAACAAGACTGTCAAGAATCTTCTCTCGTTGTCTTCCTCTCTCCCTCCTTCCACAGATCTTTCCAGTGGTCACAACATGTTCTATTTTCCCTCTTCTTATAACATGGCCGAAAAATGATGACTGTCTCCTTCTCTGTGATAAGTTGTCTTCGGGCTCCCGCCTCTTTCAAAACCTCTTTGTTGCTCTTTTTGGCTGTGCAAGGTATTCTAAGCATTCTTCTGTAAAACCACATCTCTGAGGCCTCCAGAAATTGTTTGGCCTGCCTATCGATTGTCCAGGATTCACAGCCATATGTTAAAACTGGATGTATGTAGCAAGCAAGAATTCCTTTTCTAACTCTCAATGACAAGAATATATTGCACAAGATATTGTTCATTTTATAAAATGCAGTTTTTGCCTGTCCTATTCTGTTTCTTATTTCAGTTATGCATCTTCCATCTGATGTTATCCATGTGCCCAGATACTTAAATCTCTGTACTTGTCCTAAAATAACACCATCGACTTTTACTACACATTTAGGAATAATTAGTTTCTTTGATACCACCATTACTTCCGTCTTCCTAATATTCAAACTGAAGCCCATTCTTCCACTTTCTTACACCACAATGTCTATCAATTCCAGTAGTTCTTTCTGACTTGTTGCTATCAAGACTGTGTCATCAGCATAACATAAATTGTTTATATTGTGCCCACCAACCACAATTCCGGGCATATCAATTAAAGATCTCATTTGTTTTTACAAGTTTAAAATCAATGACTTTTAATGAAGACAAAAATTTAAATATTTCAAACACATTAAACAGCGACTAACAGCCTCTCTTACCTCAAGATCATCCTGTTTTTTAATGCTGGCTTTTGAAAATTTCTTTTTGACTCGTTGGGTCAGATCATGCAGACTCTTAGCTTTCTGTAATTTAATTTTAGAGTTTTCTTCGGCTCGCCTCTCTTTCATGTCTAAATTTGGTGGTGACGATATTGTTTTAGCTGGTGTTTCATCCACCTTTTCCTTTTTCTTCATGCTCTTTTTTTTCTCTAGCTCTGCTTTCAAACTCTTTTTAATTTTTACAGATAGTGGTAGCAGCGGTAATGAAGGGGTCACATCTTCTAATTTAACAATCTTCTTGGCATCTTCAACTTTCATTGTGGAGATCTCTACACTTTTATGTGCAGCCATCTGGGTAACTGACTCCTTTCCTTCAGCTTTGACAGTGATGTTAGATGAATCTGATGAACAACTCTTTGTTACTGATACATTTGTTGAAGATGAGTTTGAATCTGTTGTAGAATCTTGGATATCTTTGTTCTTTTCAGAGTCCTTGAGGGATTTACTGATATCCAGCGGCAGCTTCTTGTTCTTGGGCATAAAATTTGACAGCTTCCACACAGGTTCTCCTCTGGGAACAGGAGATAATGCCGCCGGAGAAGGTTGAGGACTAGGTTCACTCAAAAAAATTCGCTCACTACGACGCCGGTTCCACTCCTCATCGAGAAACAGTGGCTTGGGGTCTGTCTGCAAATACAGAAATATATATATGTATAGATAGGTGACTGATGGCATCAAAATGAAAATCTTTTCTGTATGCCTAAATTAACCTTTTTTTCTTGGTTGAACGACCCTTTCACAAGGGTCGCCAAAGACCATCGCAAAACAAATATTCATTGAAGTTATGAAGTAGTGATGAAAATAATTGTATTGTTGGGGGTTGCCACAAGATGAGGAACTGTATTAAAGGGTCGTCACAACATGAGGAACTGTATTAAAGGGTTGCAACATTAAGAAGGTTGAGAACCACTGCCCTAAAGTAACATGAACCCTGGTTGTTACTAAAGATACAGCTGCAATGGCTGCTACATGCAAGCAAATGTTGTACACATTTCTAGCTTGAATGACCTAGAAGCCAAGTTAAATTTAGAGATGTGATTAATCATAGCTTGGGCAAAAAGGGGAGACAAATATATGACATTTCCTCAGCTAATCATCTTAGACCTGCGATACATGACTATATCCATCACCATCATTACCATCGTGACTTTAAGCAGATGACACAGGAGCTCAAATATCTCCCAGAAACATCCCCTCTGGATGTTCTGGATAAATTCCACTGATGATATTCCTCCATGTGATCGTCTTGTGAAAGCCCATAGCAATGATAGCCAACCTCAATGGTGAAGATGACAGTCAATCAATCAATCAGTCAGCAAATCCTTTACAGACCGCAGCTCTCGTCACAGCACACCAGAAAGTCTCTCTGACTTCAGCCAATTCTCCAGTCCTGTGCATTTTATGGCCAATACATCTTTAATGTCCTGTAACCACCTTTATGGAGGTCAGCCCTTGTCTCATTTTCTGGAAACTGCACACTCCATCGGTGTTCTCTTGAGACTATCATTTAGCTTGACACGTCCGTTCTCTTGAGACTATCATTTAGCTTGACACGTCCGTTCTCTTGAGACTATCATTTAGCTTGACACGTCCGTTCTCTTGAGACTATCATTTAGCTTGACACGTCCGTTCTCTTGAGACTATCATTTAGCTTGACACGTCCGTTCTCTTGAGACTATCATTTAGCTTGACACGTCCGTTCTCTTGAGACTATCATTTAGCTTGACACGTCCGTTCTCTTGAGACTATCATTTAGCTTGACACGTCCGTTCTCTTGAGACTATCATTTAGCTTGACACGTCCGTTCTCTTGAGACTATCATTTAGCTTGACACGTCCGTTCTCTTGAGACTATCATTTAGCTTGACACGTCCGTTCTCTTGAGACTATCATTTAGCTTGACACGTCCGTTCTCTTGAGACTATCATTTAGCTTGACACGTCCGTTCTCTTGAGACTATCATTTAGCTTGACACGTCCGTTCTCTTGAGACTATCATTTAGCTTGACACGTCCGTTCTCTTGAGACTATCATTTAGCTTGACACGTCCGTTCTCTTGAGACTATCATTTAGCTTGACACGTCCGTTCTCTTGAGACTATCATTTAGCTTGACACGTCCGTTCTCTTGAGACTATCATTTAGCTTGACACGTCCGTTCTCTTGAGACTATCATTTAGCTTGACACGTCCGTTCTCTTGAGACTATCATTTAGCTTGACACGTCCACAATACCTTAGCTTTTGGGAGATGATGCTGTTTGTGAGCAAGTTCTGCTCAAAGTTCAGGTCATGCAGGATGTCGATGTTTTTCTTCTGCTTGGTCCATGGTATTCTAAGAATTTTCCGATAGCATTTCAGTTCAAAAGCTCAGATTTTTTTTTTTTTTTTCAAATACTGAATGATAGTCCATGACAGACATCTATATGTTGCCATAGGAAAGATGCATATCTCAAATTCTTTACTTTAACTTGCTTGCAGCTGTGAACATAACACATTTTTTTTTACTTTATTACTTATAAAAACTTTGAAGAAAAAGCTTCCCAAAACAATGATTAAGCTTTCACACTTTATGAAACTCCCAAACTCCTTCTGTGGTCAGGAACAAACAATTGCTTTCACTGCTGTCTTTAAAATCTTATTCTAATATGTCCCAATCTCTTTCTTCTATGGTGAAACTTTCATTTTAAAAAAAGAGTGCCGGGAAATGTTAAGGGAAGTATACACACTCAAGCATGTGACACTATCTAGTTTTCCCTGCTCCCCAAGAACAAGCATGCCAATCAGAACCAGGTGATAAGATAGTCTTAGTATTTCTGTTGTGTTATTACATCACTCCCAGTGATCCAACAAGTTTATTATACAAACATAATGCTGGGAATCCTGGACAGTCGGTAGGCAGGCCAAACAATTTCTGGAGGCCTCGGAGATGTGGTTTTACAGAAAAATGCTTAGAATACCTTGGACAGCCAAAAAGAGCAACTAAGAGGTTTCGAAAGAGGCAGGAGCCCAGAGACAACTTATCACAGACATCAGAAGGAGACAGTCATCATTTTTTGGCCATGTTATGAGAAGAGGGAAAATAGAACATGTTGTGACCACTGGAAAGATCTGTGGAAGGAGGGATAGAGGAAGACGAGAGAAGATTCTTGACAGTCTTGTTACATGGCACAGAGGTGTGTCAGCATACGAACTGAAACATGCTGCAGGAGATTGCAGATTGTGGAGAGGCATGATCACCCCCACCAGTCGGCAAGGCACCTGATGATGATGATCAATGTCAATTCAAGTACAATGGTAATTTCATTTACACGATGACGAACACCTGTATAAGTTGCTCAACATTCGTTGCACACTTCTAACAATAACTGTTTAAAAATGTTTATATAGTCTCTTCTGACATGCAGTAACAATTTGCAATATCCTTCTTCTACCAAAGTTTGTGCTGTGTTCTTTCTTAGGTACATCTCAGTTACTCTAACAAGTCCGTCATTTGCTATTTCGTTAAATTCTCAGTCATACAGTAAACTCCTACAGTCATAAGCTACAGTTCTTCCTCCAGACTTGTTGGCCAAACAAGCCTGATCCTCTGGTCCTCCCGCCCCTGTTTTGCGCTTCCTTTCTTTCCCTCTGTTTCCTGCTTTCTTGTTAGATCACTCCTTTTCAAAGCATGGGCCATTTGTCACATCCTTGACCATTCTCAGCTACCAGAGATTCTCCGATCAGTCATCTCACTTTATCTACCGCAAAGATTAACAGGCTTCTGCTGTCTGTCCCTTGATGTTTGTATTTTGACCGTGTTTCAATTGCCATACCATAATTAATCACAAGGGGAATCCTGGTTTCACCTTGGTGCTAACCTGCATCTTCTCTCCTCACTGCATACATCATTCAGTGTCAGGTATAGCTGTATTCTATGACTGTTGGTCTTCAACTTTCCTAAAGCATGATACTAACATTACTCATAGACTGCCGACTGGTCTATGTAAATAGGTAGGGAGCACCATATGCTTAATAACACCCAAAGTGGTGAAAAGGTCCCTTTAATATTTATTTTAGGTAGCCTCTGAATTTTTCACTTTAATTCAATCATATAATAAAACCCCAAAATAAGGAAAGAAAAGATTCTTATTCTTCTTAGTGTCCACTGGCTGTAATATCTAGTGGAAAGTTCTGGCTTTTCGTTTAATTCTGGACTTCAGTCTTGATCCAGAACTTGAGTTTTGCGTGCATATCCATTTGACAGATCTGGCTTATTTGTATACAGACTGTTGGTCCCTTGCCTTTCAGACAGATGAACTCTTGACTTTAAAATAAACATCCCTAATCAGTTGCCTCTGATGTCATGCTTGCTGGGGGCAGGGTTGGTCTATTTCCCCAATGGAACCCAGAAACCCACATAGGGAGAGAGGAGAAGATAAACAAGAGGAATAGAGAGGGACAGAACTGAGCTCAGCAGGAATAAGGCATGTAGAGAGTGAAAGGAGAGGAAGCATGTGTACAGGGAACAGAAAGTAAGGGAGAGTACTAGCAAACCATGCGCTAGTTTCAACTGAAATACAAACCCCCACCCCCTGGGAGTAAAACAAATATAACAACTAAAATGTAGACACACCTTTTTCCACTCTTCATCTTTAGACTGACTACAACTGGATTCAGGACTCAGAACAGGTCCTATGTTGGTGGTGGATTTCTTGGCCCATATGGTTTCTGTCAAGGCAAAATTCAGTACAAAGATTTATTAAAACACAGACAATAGCTCTAATACTCTTGTTAACTTGGTTCTTGTTTGATGATAGTAAGATTGGGTGAGTATGTTTCTCCCACAGGACTACCAAAGTATTGGCTCAAGTCAGTTCAGTTCTTATGTTCCAGTGGATTTTTGAGTGGTTAAGTGGTTAAGCTGCTTGCCTTATGAAATAAGAAAACTGCCATGGTGTAGTGGCTAGATGCTCATCTGCGGATCCAGGGTTCAAAACCTAATGCAGCCTGACTTTATTTAGAAAATCACCCTGGTTTCCAGGTTGACCCAGCCTTTAGTGGGTACCACAGGTAAGGGCGGCCACCATGATGTTGACAATTTCACCCACCGACTGCCAAGTGGTCAGTAAAATATAGTTCTAGCCTTATATGCCCAAACGCCTGAAGATGTAGACAAAGATCCCTTACTTTTACTTATGAACTAAAAGTCAGCCGGGCTTCAGACTTCATCCAGTCATTAGTCAGGTGTTTTGAAGAGCCCTGGAATCATCACTAGAGTTACAGACATTGGTATTCCATAAGATGCTTTCTGCTGGCAATCAGTGCTTTCTGCAGAAAGGCCAAGGCATCTTCTTTTGTCTCACTGATAACCAGGATGTAACTCAGTGTCGACGTTGTCGGGCGGCTTGGGTGATGGATTTGTGAATGGTTTTGCAGGTTTCTGCTACACCATTTATCCATCTCTTTCTTGGTCTTCCTCTCACCTTCCACCCAGATGTTCTGCTGTAAACAGTCTCATTTGCAGTCTGATCTGGCTGCATTCTCACTAGATGGCTAATCATTTCATTCTTTGTTTGTCAATATAATCCAGACATGGTCTTTTTCTGATTTTCTCTCTAATGTTAGTGTTTGTAACCCTGTCTCTTCTGGTGTTGTTAGTGACTTGTGGAGACAGAGCATTTCACATGTCCAAGGCCAAGGCAAATGGGATAAAACTTTGTGCAACGAGGTTAGTTCTTCCACTTGCTTTAACCCTGTTGCCCTGAGAAGCCACATAACCTACACTTCTAGTTGGGTCTAACTTCTCATAAAAGCCACCGAACTTAAGTTTTCTATAGCGATGTGTTTAGGAGATGCATAGTTTAAGCAAATGACTTCAAGATCAGGATCATTTCACACGACTTTAACGAGGGCATATGCTCCACTTAGGAGAGGGGGGGGGGGGGGGGTTGAACAGCATCTTCCGATGATGAGTGTTCCTCTACCAAAGCTTTTACTTTTGCATCAACTACTAGTGGCGCCAGATCACGGCACTGTCATGTCAGGGTGAAAATGACCGCAAAGTTCTGATTGTATTCATCTGGTATGTATGGATATCCATTCCTCTCCACAGTTTATGTCTTGAAGGGATATCGCCCGATGAAGTACTGTTTCCGCCCAGCCCAACCAACACTTATAAGGTAAAGAAGAAAGTGCTATAATGGACACATCCTGAGAACAAAATGAGCAGAGAATCACCAAACAGGCATTACAATTGGAAATCAAGGCAACTGAGGAAGCGAGGACACCCATTAAAAAAAAAAAAAAAAATCCCTAAAATGAACATGGGAAAGAATAGAATGGAGGAATAGTCTGCGAGCCCCGTGTGACATATAATGGTATAACAGGACAATGATGATGATAATTCAGCAGATTAAGTCGCATACCTGTGCCACAGGAAGCATTGTCTGGGTTGATCTTACGTGGGCGCCCTGGTTTCCTCTTCTTATTGGGGCTAGTGTCGCTGGCATCTGTATCTGAATCTGCAAATGTATAGTAAGAGTTAATGTAAAAGTTCTACATGTGGTTACTGGAAGTGTTTACTTGCTGAAAAGGACAAGGTGTGGAGGACAAGGTGTGGAGGACAAGGTGTGGAGGACAAGGTGTGGAGGATAAGGTGTGGAGGACAAGGTGTGGAGGACAAGGTGTGGAGGACAAGGTGTGGAGGACAAGGTGTGGAGGACAAGGTGTGGAGGACAAGGTGTGGAGGACAATGGTGGAATGAAGATTAAGTGGGTCAGGATAAGAGGAAAGAGAATGAAGGACAAAGTATGGTGGAATGAAGAATGAAAGTGAGGTGGATGAGGATAAAAAAAGAAGAAAAAGAAGAGACAAATCATGGATTCTTCTTCTGTGTTCATCTGAAGATGTAACTGCATTGTGCCTGTTTACAGCATGGTCGCCATATCTGTGCCTTTTGGTCAACACATCCTACTTCTAAAAAGCGGTGAAAACAGGGGTGACTGCCGTCAAGCTAATACCAAGAAAATAAACCAGTGAACTGTGACTAAAAATCTCAACAAAATGGGGAATAGAACAACGTGCACAAAACATGGGGTCTTTCTCGACATGAACTAGCTATAGAACAATAAGAAAGATGAAAGTACTCAAACCACCAGGGGTTCACGTGAGAGACTATAAAAAGGTGATTTGGAATGAATCAAATTAAATAAAATGAGGGAAGGCTAGAAAAAGTCATAAAAGTAATAGTGATAATATATAATAACAGTAAGACTAAAAGAGTCAAAATACAAATGTTAAGATCCACAACTGGTACTGATAAGAGATAAAATAAAATAATAGTATGAAATAAAATATAATAATCATTAAAAAAAAATTAAATTAAATTAAAACTGATGTGACAATAGAAAACTATTTAGACGAAGGTATGATTGAACATTGATATTTTCTGGGCTTAGAAGATCTAGACCAGTGATTCCCAAACTGTGCGCTGCGGCGCCCCGGGGAGCCGCAACCTCTTCACAGAAGCGCTGTGAAATATTCGAAGATACACAAGGTTTTTTTAAAAAATCTCTTACATACGAATAGTCATATTTTTACTTAGGCGCCGTGGAAAAATTGTAATTGAAAAAAGGGGCTGTGACTAAGAAAAGTTTATGAAACACTGACCTGGACAATGGATGAGGTAATTTTCCAAAACAAAATTTTTTTTTAGCAAACTCCTAATTCCATGATCCACATTCAATAGATAGCAGAATGTCAGTATTTTTCTTCCTCTTGAATATTTTAAGATTTCTGCAACAATTAGGGTCAAAAGCCCTAAATTTCTTCTTCAGGCATTAGCTGGCCCTTCCTCTTAAGTCTAAGGCAGCACATAGGGCAGAGGTCAAAGCTCTCCATGTCTGGTGGTTCACTGCCACATGTTTTAGGTCTTGGATTTCATTAGGCCCATGGGTGAGCCTTCTTTGATGATGGTTCTACGCAGGGTCTCTCCCGGTCTTCCCAATTTTATTTGCCCTTCCGGTGCCCATATGAGGGCTTGATACAGAAATCTCGTCTTCTCCGTTGTCAGTGCATGGCTGATGTAGTTCCAGCTGCGCTTTCTTATAAAACTGGAGACATTATCTTGTTTGGTCTCTTGTCTTATTTGTGTATTAGATCTGAAATCTGTCTAGTGGAGATTTATAATTTTTCTAAGACAGAGTTATTCAACTGGCGGCCCGCGGGCCAAGTCTGGCCCCTGGAGGTCTAAGAAGTGGCACGCAGATCATTTGCAGTTATACTGTTTTAGTGATCTTTCGACGCTGGGGCTCAGGCCTCTGGCCCGTGACGATCCCCAATTTCAAAATTGTGGCCCCTAAATCAACTTAAGTGAATAGCGCTGATCTAAGACATCTGTTCTAAAAATTGTCTAATTTTTTTACAATTTAGAGCTACTGTTGCTTTCCAACTCTGGCATCCATGAGTTAACACTGGAATCACACAAGAGTTGAAGATTTGAAGTTTTGTGTGTTTGCTGAATGTTCTTTAGGAATTGCTTAATGGTCAATTATTCACATCCAAATGCTGCCATAAGAGGGACACAAAAAAGACTAAATATTTGTTACTTTAGTTTTTGTTATTGTTGTTGGTGTGTCATAGGCTTGTGAACTGCTGATAAAGCAGCAACATTGTAAAATGTCAACCACAGTAACTTGCAAACAACATAATTACAAATGAAAATAACCTACCTTCCTCAAAATTGCGTTTGTTTGGGGTTGCATCTTCAAAACTTGCCATGAAATTGTTTGTCAACGCATCAAAATTATTTGTAGAACTGTTTACTGCAACGCTAACAGATGAAGCAGCCCCACAATCACTGACGACATTCACTGCAGCACTGACGTCTGCAGCACTGATGTCTGCAGTACAACTGCTACTGGCTAAACAGGTATTTACACTGCTGCCAAACTCCTCCATGACAGCCTGGTGAATTTCTTGCGAAGAAAATGATGTTGATGCTGCTGCTGTTGTAGCAGTCAGAGATGTCGCTGTAGATGTTGACGACGATGATGATGATAAGTGAGCAAATGTTGAGGCTGCTGACATATTAGGTGTGGAACTTCTGAGGCTAGAAGTTACAAAGCTTGGGTGACTAATGCTCATCACAAAGGAGGCAGAGGAAGTCATGAAGTTTCCCACAGAACCAATGTCAATGCTTGAACTATAGTTACAACTGTTGTTGTTTGTAGTGCTGCCACCAACACTGTAAGTCCCACCACCAATGACAGTGCTGCTACTGCTGAATGAGCAGGCTGTGGGTGTTATGAGATGACTGGAGCTGTCTGAGGTGGAAAAACTGTTGGAGGTCAGTGACGACCCATTTAGAGCAAACTTGGCCAGCAGCCCTAGGCCACATTCTTGTTGTGGTGTGGGTGAACTCAGTTCTAAATAGTGTGGATGAAACAAGAGACCGAGTTAGAACTCAGAAAACATCCCCACTGTAAGCATATTTAAAAAAAACAACAACAGTACTATTACTTCTAACCATTCTTATTAGACATTCAATATCCCTTGGCCCTCATGGGGTGGGGTGTGTGCGTGTGTATTATTAGACCCACTGCCCTCTCTAACAACAATGTCATAAAAGGAAGGTGACTAATTTGAGGGGAGGAGGGGCGGGGTAGTTCCTTTAAAGTTGGAATGTATCTATCTGAGAGATGAGGAATCCAACAGTCAGTGCTTACAAAGAAGCCAGATGTCTGAAATGATGTGTATGCAAAACTCAAGTTCTGAAACATGACCAAAGCACTGAAGTGGATGAACACCTAGAACTTTCCGCTAAAGTTTACAGCTAGACAACATGAAGAAGAAGAACAGAGAGATAGCCTTCTGTTCTCATGTAGTACGCTCTTGTCGCTAGTTGATTCTGTTCAACTCAAATTTCACCCAATTTATCTTAGCTATCTTAAATCGTTTTTCAAGGTTTGATGGAAGGTTTTTCACATGCATTGTCGGGAGGATACATTCGAAGAGAATAATCAACTATTACACTAAGGGAATAGAAATCCCACATATTAAGGACACAATGTTGGTAAGATTGTCTAATTATTCATAGTACAGTTTCTATGATAATCACAACCCAAATTAAAGCAATATGTGAAACAATACAAATTAGATTTCGGTTATATAAATAATTTCGCAATATATAAATATAGAAAAACAAAAATATACTCTGAGAACTCAAATAACACTACATATCCCAATTACAGCCTTGAGGATTGAAAAGGATATTTTACTACTACTTATAGGGGTGTCAGAACACACAGGGTCAGTGCACTAGTTTGTTGTATATCCTTTAGAGGACGTCACAAACCAACCTCTGCATTTGTGGTTTACTAGGCAACATTATGTTCAAAGGTTAAGTATTGCTGTCTGAATGGTTCAGCACTCAAACCAAGTAAAAATCAGATGAGAACAGTCAGCTATCAAATCACCTGCAGGTAACTCCGTCTGTTAAGGAGCAGTTGATCTATTCGTCTCCTCCAGGCCCCCAAAATGGGACACCAGAACCCACATTTTTCTGTTTGCTTGCTATACAGTACTTTCAAAGGTTCATCTCCTGCATGGTTGACCTCTGGCTCTATAACAGCTTAGCTAGTTAGTTGGGTTATCATCATTGCACTCCGGACATGTCCATAGGTGCTCTGATCCTCCCCTCAGTATGAATCCCAACGTCTGATGGCTAATAGTACCAGTTCTATGTTGATTAACCCTCTTAGCACGGACGGGCCGATTATCGGCCGGCGGATGTATGGCCAAAAACACGGAGCGGCCGATCATCGGCCCGATCGTGTTTCGCCTCGAACCACTAAGAAATCTATTTTGAAACACTGAAAGTGATTCATTTATATTCACTGCTGTATCAGCTTTACACATGGCGACTTTCGAGTGTTTGGTATTGAAGTGAAAATTGTTGTTGAATTTTTTAAATAGTGACCTGAACCGCTAAAAGTATGTCTGACTCGTATGTTTCTGCCCCTAAACTTGATGTTGATAAAACATTTGAATCAAGTGATGACACTAATTCTGTTGATACTGATGCAGGATTTAGTGTTAGTAGTAATAGTGGGAATCAGATTGGGACGCTGTTGTGTTCAGTCACAGCCCAACCATGGCTCAGGGTATATCCACCCGAAGGTGTTGACACTACACTTCCGCACATCCATTTCTTGTGCTGACTGATGGTGAAAAACACATGTCACCTAAAGATATTATTGCTGTTTCATATATATATACCTGTTTTTGACTATTGAATTGCTTACAACATTTGCAAAAAGGCCAAAGATCAATAAAAAGATTTCAAATAAAATTTTTTTTTGTTTTTAGTTTTATGTTTCAAGCATTGAAGTTGAAAATTCAAATTCAAATTTTCTATTTTTAGATATGCAAATGAGATAATTTGCATATACATCAATTAATTTTAACGATATTATGAAAATCATGAACTTCAATCTATATCCTTCAAATAGACATATTATTTCATGGGGGTCAGAATAACAGAAATCTGTCAAAAAAATTAAATAAAGTAATAACCAAATTCACTGAAAAAATGCTCCGTGTTTTTGGCTAGACCTCTGAAAAACTTCCCGTGCTAAAAGGGTTAACAAGTCTTCTGGCGTGTCTGGTGTGCGTCTCGTTTTTTTAAATGCCGATCTCAATTCCCAATTCTGCCATTCTGGCGAGTGATGTGGATTCACTGCCACCAAAGTCCTCTATCCGCCCCATTTCTCAGAGGGCATTAATAATATCAGCATGATCCATAGGCTGACCGTCAGTAATGATAGCGGATCCAGCCAACCTATCAGCTCTTTCATTTCCATCGACGCTTCTATTACTGCTGTTTCTGTATAACATGGATCTTTGTAGTCCTGTGTCTGTTGCCAGACTTTTTTACATGGCCAAACCAGTCGATCATCTATCTACCGAACAGTATTGATTATGTGCCGACTCTCCTACTGATATTTCTGTTCCTAAACGTAAACATTAAAAAAAAAAATCGGCTGCATCTTCTAAAATTACAAGACACTTTATTTTCTAAGTTGTTTACCTGTTTTTATAACGATCATATCTGAAGTAGCAGGCAACAGCTTCTGTGAGTGGCTTTTTGATGGTCGTCTCATTCTTTCAGCATAATCTGTTTTGTCAACATATCCCCCTCCAAAGCTTTCCATATTTGAAAAAATATTGCCCACATCTAAGATGGAAAAAAAAAAAAAACACAGAAAGGTTTAAATTCACCTATTCTACTAGATTAGGAACAAAAACAAAATGGGTGAAAAGCTGTGGAATACTAAACTGAAATAAAAACAACACACATGTAGACACATTAGTGTGTGTCATGTCAATCATGGTTTACCATCTGGCAAAATCAACAGACTGGATTAGGTGTGCATTCTTCACCATCAAAATATCATCTTCACAGGGAATCTGTTGCAGAGCTCTCCTACGACTTCCTCCGTGCAGCAAAGAAACACATTGTGAGAGAACACTGTGGACACAGCAGCTGAGAGGCCTATTATTATATAACCAGTTGAGTTGAGTTGAGCTGAGTCAAGAATTGACATCACAGCACTTGGGGTATTTCCATGCATGCTCTGACCTCATCTTGAGCAGCCAGCACAGAGTTCCAATACTGATGGTACCGGTCACAATCTGGTTAAATGTCCATCTTGGCTTTCCTCTGAGTGTAGTGAGCCGGCCAGACCCGCTGGTTACACCCAGGTGCCTCATTCTCTCCAGACCACAATAATCTTCTTTCTCTACTGATTCCATTGCTTGTTCCCAAAGGGCCTTGACCACATCTGTCTTGTCATGTATCAATTCACCAATGTATATTTAACCAGAAGAAACAATGGTGCAAGTCAAACTTTACGTGGTTTGCCGAGTAAATTAAAACACACAATAATGGTTCACCATCTGACAAGATTAACAAACTGGATTCGGTGTGTATTCTCATCACGATTATGCCCTTTAATCACACTGATTATGCCACCCGACAATGCTGATTATGCCATTTGACCCTGTTCATTATGCCATCTGACCCTGCTATTTATGCCATCTGACCCTGCTGATTATGCCATCTGACCCTGCTGATTATGCCATCTGACCCTTTTCATTATGCCATCTAACCCTTTTCATTATGCCATCTGACCCTTTTCATTATGCCATCTGACCCTTTTCATTATGCCATCTGACCCTTTTCATTATGCCATCTAACCCTTTTCATTATGCCATCTAACCCTTTTCATTATGCCATCTGACCCTTTTCATTATGCCATCTGACCCTTTTCATTATGCCATCTAACCCTTTTCATTATGCCATCTAACCCTTTTCATTATGCCATCTGACCCTTTTCATTATGCCATCTAACCCTTTTCATTATGCCATCTAACCCTTTTCATTATGCCATCTAACCCTTTTCATTATGCCATCTAACCCTGCTAATTATGCCATCTGACCCTGCTAATTATGCCATCTGACCCTGCTGATTATGCCATCTGACCCTGCTAATTATGCCACCTGACCCTGCTGATTATACCACCTGACCCTGCTGATAATTCCATCTGATCCTGCTGATTATTCCACCTGACCCTGATAATTATGCCATCTGACCCTGCTAATTATGCCATCTGACCCTGCTAATTATGCCATCTGACCCTGCTGATTATGCCACCTGACCCTACTGATTATGCCACCTGACCCTACTGATTATGCCATCTGACCCTGCTGATTATGCCACCTGACCCTACTGATTATGCCATCTGACCCTGCTGATTATGCCACCTGACCCTACTGATTATGCCATCTGACCCTGCTGATTATGCCACCTGACCCTGCTGATTATACCACCTGACCCTGCTGATTATTCCATCTGATCCTGCTGATTATTCCACCTGACCCTGATAATTATGCCATCTGACCCTGCTGATTATGCCATCTGACCCTGCTAATTATGCCATCTGACCCTGCTGATTATGCCATCTGACCCTGCTGATTATGCCATCTGACCCTGCTGATTATGCCATCTGACCCTGCTAATTATGCCATCTGACCCTGCTGATTATGCCATCTGACCCTGCTGATTATGCCACCTGACCCTGCTGATTATGCCACCTGACCCTACTAATGCCATCTAAAATCGACTGGTTGGTAAGTCAAAAAGTGAAAGTGAAATATTGTAGCCACATCAAGCCCCACGGTGGATTGAACAAAATAATAGCAGAGGGCATGATACCAGGAAAGAGTTTCAGGGGACAACCAGAATAAAATGAGTAGAGGATTTGGTTAGTTGTGTATCCTTTACAGGACGTTGCAGAACCAACACCAATAGCCCCTGGCTGTTGTGTGGTTTTTCTAGGCAAATTTACATCCAGTGGTTTGCCATTGCTTTCTGGACGGTTGGCTTTCTTTATACCACTGTCGAAACCAACGCAAGGCGCATGGCCCGCAGCTGGGATCGATCCCGGCATTACGAAGCCACAGAGCCGACGAGTAGAGGATATAAGTAGGAAAGTGCCTGATGAGGTTGGAGAGTTGGTGAGAGTTCTTTCAAGCAGACTATGATGACAGCAATGTTCTGCAAGGGACCTGCTACATGACGATGAAAAAGTACAAGATTATGAATGCGCAAAAACAGAACACAATTTTAAGAGGTGTGAAGACAAAGTCATCTGACAACAATGAGACTTACCCTGGCTGTGTTTACTGTCTTCACTATGGCTTGAATTTGACCTGTGCCTGCTTTTGCTCTTATCTGATGAGGAGACAAACAAGGTAGTCTTGGGTACACAGAAAACAATCTCATCTTGTAAACAGAATGGGATATTCTGTCAGTGATCTCTGGTTATGCATTTCGTGAAGATGATTCTGACACCCGACCCCACTGATTATGCCATTTGACAAAACAGATTATGTGGTAATCATCCACTTTTGGCCATAAACTGGTATGTCAGTTCGGGGTCTTGGAGAGTTCCTCACAGCCTACTGCATTTCCTTAAGCATAAGTCAGCATTTATTTTAAAAAATATACGGTTTAAAAACAGTGCGCGTCTTACACAATGGTAGTAGACTTTTACCAAACAATTTTTTTAGGATATATGAGGTGGGTGTGTTACCAGGAGAGAGAAAATCGGATTAAAACACTTGAACATCAAGCAATGAAGTGAGTGTGCTAACTGTTGTACTTCTTTAATTCTCTCACTAACATTCATCCATTCATTGTCCTGCTGTGTCATTATTATGTCAACAGAGCCATATTTGTCTATTCGGTGCAATCCTGTGCAACAACTCTGATAGCATGGGTGGGGTCCCAACCAAAACCTTTGATTCTTCTCACTAGCTTACATGCTGAAAATATTCTTCCACACATAGGAGTTAAGTTGAATTGATTCAAGAACCAACATCACAGCACTTGGGGCATTCCTATAAGCGCTCCGTCACCATCTTCAGCAGCCAGTGAAGAGTTCTGATACTAAAGGTGCCAGTAGCATTCTGATTAAACGTCCGTCTTGCCATTCCTCTGAGCCTCGAGCATCTGCCAGAACCTCTCGTCACTCCCCCCTGCATCAATCTCACCAGACTGTGGTGATCCATCTGCTCCTCCGAACTGTACATGCTCTCCAACAAGGCACTAACCATGATTGCCTTATGCATCAGTATTCCACCAAACATATGAAAACATTCAGTACGAATTGCACAGAAAGATATACCTACCAGGGCTGCTACACTTGTCCTTGACCTTCTCTTGATGCTTGATTTCAGAAAAACTGGGCCAGTTTTTCTCATCAAAGCCAAAAAGATCTGTTTACGTGAGATAGGTTAAACAGTAATAAGTTAGAACCGGATCCATGGTGTTTAGACGATATGTGCTTGTGTACAAAAACAGCGGTCTGTGTTAAATCCTCAGGGGTAAAAGCAAGTTTTCTGCGACCAATATGGCTCAGCGTTTGACCCAGTTTAATTAAATGGGTACTGGAAAATTGTCAGAATCATCACGTTTAACCAGCATTCCCCAAGGCTTTAGGTTATAATTGTGACCAGGTTATGTGGGCCATTTAAAATAGCTTAGCACTGCACACCACCAAGAGATCTAAAAAGGACGCTTGAAGTGTTGATGTGATCAAAGAAGAAAGACTCAAATACTGGCCCGTTCAGAGACAAGCTGTCTACTGGCAAGGCAATGGGTGGTCTGGTCACCGATGACCACACTACCCCATTATATTAAGATAGAATATAAAATATGTGAAGGGCTAAGATTTTTAAATGGTAATTTTTACCTCTTTACCTTTACATGATGATAAATTCAACATAAAAATAGGTTCCACATAACTGTTGGAATTAGGGGGAAATTCTCTGGGATAAGGAGGGGCCGCCTGCCTTATTTTACATACTACGATAGAATATCAAATATGTGAAAGAATTTCTAAAAGATAACTTTACCTCTTTATTTTTACCAAATAAAAATCAGATTCAGTTCAATTCAATTTGTGGAAAATACAAATTTTAAACTTTCCCCGTTTTCAGCTGCCCGAAAGGTCAGCTATATTGCAAAAGTGCAAAAAAGGGGAGGGGGGGGGGGGTGTTTGTTCACTGCTGTCTTAGTCTGAGTTCTGTTTCTTTGTGGCGAAAAAAAAATAATTTCTCCTTAGTTTTTGTCCATTCTTGCTGCAACATGCCGGCGTGGTCTGGCTTGTCGGGTTTAGCAGCTTTTGATTGGCTGTTTATTGAACCTTGGAAGTGGATTGACAGCCCTGAGAGGGACTGTCAGTTTTTCCTGGAGTAGCCTGGAACAGGTGTGGGTGGGGTTAACATTCGGATTAACACCTTTGTGGTTTTATATGATCAGTAAAGATAGTGACATGGTAGACAAATGTATAATTGACTGGAAGCAAAATGGCAATAAAACCTGCTAAATTATTAAAATTCCAAGAACAATTAACTTGACATTAATCTGATGCAAGCTTCAAAGAATTAGATTCAAAAAAAAAAAATTCTGATACCTTTGTTTCGTTTCACAGAACTTGAAGCAGACTTCCTGCGAAAGAAAGGTCCTGTTTTGCTCTTAACATAATGAATAGATCTGCTGACTTTGCTTGGTTTGATGACAGGAGGCAACTGCAGGAAGAAGTTGTTTGGATAACTGGTTGCTATACAAAATATGTAGTTTTTTTTCTCCAGTTTTAAGTAAATAATAAAAGACTGCATGTAACAAATATTACAGTTACTTGTTATCCATACCCACGTCCTAGCACATCAGTCCAACCCATTCGTACTCTGCCCTCTGATGCAGCAGCCATCGCAGCGTCTCCATGCTCAACGCAATGAGCAGGAGTTAACAGGCATTTCTTCTTTCATTACCCCAAAACCGGTTTCTGCATGTTTGTGCTCGTTCAATACCCATTTGCAGCAGAAGGTTCACTGTCATCGATTACTTTCTCTGCACATCTCTAGAATGCAGCACATACAGTGTCTCTGAACTGTCTATACTTCTTCATCAATTAACCACCGCAGACATGCCAGTCTGTCGGCTCTTTCATTTCCTTTCACCCCGGCATATCCCGCAAGTTCAGTCATGGTAGTGTCTTGAGGTGGGACTTCCAAATGCTGTCAACCCATTCTAGTCAGTCTATATCTTCTTAAGCATGCTTACTGAGTCTGTCACTATCAATAATAAGCAACGACTCTTTGGCACAACAAACATTTTAAGCCATTAAACTTGGCCCAAATAAAACCACATCCCAATTATAACCGACACTGTTCCAGCAGGGCTGAATGTGATTAAATGTAATGTTCTTTTCTCCCGCCAAACTAACAAAACTAACACCATCAATGCATGAGCTGTTTTCTGTTCTGCCAGCTATGCAAGTGCCCCTGTGGCAGCTGCTATTTTCGTCAACATTTTAGAAGTAGTTGAACAGAATGCCTGACTTTCTACCTTTATCAGCGCTGTAAATATTATAGTGAACAGGAATAACTGTGAGCGATGAATGATAAAGACTTAGGGCCATGGTAGTGTGCAGTGGATAGCATTGCTGGCTGCTGGTCCACGTTTGAATCAGTGACATCTCAACACATGGGCCCGCTGTGCCCTTACTGTCAATCTGTGTAATATGTTTCATATTATCAAGAATTTACGTTTCATTCCATTGAGTGGCTGTCATAGACGACCCAGCACACTGGTTTGCCCAGGGGCCCATAATGATGTTAAGAGGGCTCTGGTTTTGAATACATAGTGAGGCAAGTAAAGTGGCAGGTGTTAAATTGTCCACTGTACCATCAAATAACAACTGGTCAATAAACTATGAAACTAGACCATTCAACCAAAACTTCACCAGGTTAAGGACTTTGTTATTCATGGTTAAAATGAAAAAGTGTGGTAAATAAACTAACTCAGTAACACAGTTACCTGGCTGACTCGGTCAAAAATGGGTACCAGGAAATGTCATGGGAAGTAAAGACAGCCGGCAGGTGCTGATTGGTCTGTAAAATACAGGTCTAGTCCTGTATGCCCAATGCACCAAAGGCATAGCAAGGGTCTTTCACTTGACAATGTATTTGTACTAAGGCATACAATAAAATATACCTTCCTGAAAACCCTGTCAACAAGTTCCTCGGCTGGCCTTTTCTTCTTCTGTGGGTGTGGATGTTCTTTGGTCTTTGAGGAACTGCTGGAACTGGCAGGTGGAGAAACAACAATATTCACACCAGAAGTCAGCTAAAGTGAAGCTTTTACTTAATAAGTACATTGAGATACCCAAAACCTATAAACCTTCTACCGTCTGCTTGAGCTGGTTGGTGGGGAAATAAAATTATTTATGCCAGGAAATCAGCAAAAGTCAAGATTTTATACTGGTCCAATGAGATACCTAAAAGCTATAAACCTACCCTCCATCTGAGGTGGCAGGTTGAAGAACAAAAATATTTATGCCAGGGATTCAGCAAAAATGAAGCTTTAAAACAAATACAATAAACTGGAGGAGTGGCTGACGGAGTGGTTACAGTGTTGGGCTCTTATTTGAGAGACCCATGTTTTATCTTCAGTAAGGGATATAGATGCAGACATACTGAATACGCAGAGACAAAAGAGTCAGCGACGATGAACTGCCAGTTGGAAATGAGTATTAAATGAGAAACTGACTGCATGGCAAAGAAAGAAGATGCATCAATCAACTCCTACAGCACCAGTCACCTCCTACAGCACCAATCAACTCCTACAGCACCCATCAACTCAACTCCTACAGCACCCATCAACTCCTACAGGATACAGTAAGCACAGAGACACTGAGACAGCTACTGCATCAGAGGATGCAGCAGAAATGTGTCAGGCTGATGTGATAGGGTGTCAATATGGACAACAAGTAACAAGCAAGCAAAGGATAAAGATTTTTCTGCCAGCAAAAGTGAAGCTTTTACCAGCACGATGAGATATGTAACATGTAAAAACCTGTTTCCCATTGCCAGCCTACAGGACACTCTTGGGCAAGATGGGGTACCTGTTAGGTCTTCTTATCTGAATACAAAGAAACAATGGGAGCAGGTTGAACTTAAACCGACAGTTGCTGGTCAAAGTCTCAACTTCCCCAAAGCAGGCAGAGGATTACAATAAAGTGACAATGGTAATGTCCTGGGAAGGAAAGGTGGTCAGCATAATGTTCACCACATCACCATTTAAGTGTCGTCTGGTCTATAAAAATATGAGACTAGCATCATCTGCTCATCATCTGCAGGAATTTGAAGCTAGGTTTTCCTGAGGTCGAGTTGAGTTGGGTTGAGTCAAGAATTGACATCACAGCACTCAGGGCATTCTCATGTGTGCTCCGTCCTCATCTTCAGCAGCCAGTGCAGAGTTCCAATACTGACGGTACAAGTCACAATCTGGTTTATGTCCTTCTTGCCTTTCTCTGAGTGTAGTGAGCTGGCCAGACCCTCTGGTTATACCCAGGTGCCTCATTCTCTCCAGGCCATAATAATCTTGTTTCTGTACTGATTCCGCTGCTTGTTCCCAAAGGGCCTGGACCACATTTGCCACTTTTGTTTTACTACTCATACACTACACACTGCTTTTCGTTAATTCATTATAACTTGAATACAACATCTGTTAAGTTGTGCATCCATTATTTAGTGAACACTGTATATATCTTTTCTTGTTCTGCCCCTTATCCTTCAATGGAGCATGGGATAAATCACGCCAAGTCATCCTATTCTATCACAAGTAGCTCAATCTATTTCTTCACCATCTTTTTCCCCCCACTTAATCTCTAATTTCTAACATTTCTCCTTACTTCATCAGCATTCTACAATTACCCCCCCCCCCCCCCCCCCCCCCCCCCCCCCCCACACCGGCAACGATATACCACATGCGGGCTGTACGTGGCGCATCCTTGGTATATAATTGCCCGGGGGGGGGGGGGGGGGGGGTTCTAATTGAAGAATGCTGATGAAGTCAAACTTTCATTGTGGTATTGTCATTCAGAGTTTCGTCTGAAAGTAATACACTCACAATTTTAATTCTTGTTAATTTTTTTAATTGTTGTTTTTACTTAATACTCCTAATATGTAAACTGCTGTATAAGCATGCTTTAAAGATAAAATATAACTGCTGTGTGAAAGATTAGTAAGGGTCAAATATAACAGTTAACTGACCACTATGTGATCCTTTGAAACTAAAATTAAGTTCGTTCATTCATTCTAGTTATTGCCCCTTGTGACGTATGTCTACCAAAAAGATCATCTACAGCTGAAGAAACGGAAAGAAGCACGAAACAAGACAAGCAAATGTACGTTGGTCTAAAATAGCAGTTACCTCTCATCGTCTGACTTCTTGCCAGGAGTCTTGTTCTTTGGTGGTCTGCCAGGCCCTCTTTTAGACTGTTTGCGTTCCCTGAAAACACAGAATGATTTCATGGCTTATAAATTATTGTTTCCCCTGATAAATTATTGTTTCCCCTGATAAATTATTGTTTCCCCTGATAAATTATTGTTTCCCCTGATAAATTATTGTTTCCCCTGATAAATTATTGTTTCCCCTGATAAATTATTGTTTCCCCTGATAAATTACAAGTTAGACTGTTTGCGTTCCCTGAAAACACAGAATTCTTTCATGGCTTATAAATTATTGTTTTCCCTGATAAATTACTAGTTAGACTGTTTGCATTCCCTGAAAACACAGAATTCTTTCATGGCTTATAAATTATTGTTTTCCCTGATAAATTACTAGTTAGACTGTTTGTGTTCCCTGAAAACACAGAATTCTTTCATGGCTTATAAATTATTGTTTTCCCTGATAAATTACTAGTTAGACTGTTTGTGTTCCCTGAAAACAGAGAATTATTTTATGGCTTATAAATTAATGTGCCCCTTGATAAATAACAAATGACAAGTACAAGATAGAGTATTTAAGGCCACATAAAAATATTGAAAATTAATTCTTATCTGAAGGATAAGATTTTCCACATACTGTCACTTGAGTATCTCTTGCTTTTGCCCTTAAAAAGGCAGTTGCCACATTGAGGTGTGGTTTACAGCTTGACGGTTGGGTTCAACACATCCAATTTCAGCAAAAGCTTAATTAGTCACATTTTATGGTATGTCTGATACAGGACAGTGGATATTAGACTATCAGTCAGCGTTCCAACTTCATTGCAACTTCACTTCAAATTATGACTGCTCCATTCCGGTGCCAGGAAAAACCATAAGAAATGCTCAACACTGTCCTATGTGAAAAGTCAGACACACAGCAGTCCCAGCAAAATCCAACAGCCTGCACATGCATCACCCCCACAACACATATTGCACTCATAGGACAGCCACCAGAGGTGTCATCCAGTTTGTCACTAGTAGTGGTATTCACAGAGGGTGAACATGTAATACTGCATAAATCGCATTGACAATTCTGTAGCAACCAGCGGTTTGCCATATCCTGAAATGGATGTTACAACACACATCCATGGACAAGAATAATTCCCCATGAAATTCACAGTGTCGCACCACACATTCAACTGAGCTTGATGGAACCAGATTTCAACTTTCTCCTGATTGGTTGTCCTATCCAGTTTCCTGCTGGGGGGATGAACTCCAACCTTCCAGTGGATAACTGGAAAGAACAGGGCTCACCACATGATGGTGTGCCACAGCAAGAGAGACTAAGGAAACATTAAAAGTCTAGTACTGCGTGCGCATCACGGCTCCATCAGGACCCTGCAGTATAAACCACAACAGTTCACACTGACATAAAAAAAAAAAAACCTATCATTATAAGATCATACAACAGCTGATAATGGTTAAATAAGAGATGAGCAAAAACTTGCATTTTAACCAAAAGAAACAACAATTCTTTACAAAAATGCTGTTTAACCCTATCACCCGAGAAAATGGTTGGTCCGCATTTACACATTTTGATGAGATCAAATGGTTCAGCCATCTAGTGAGAATGCAACTAGACCAAACTGCATATAACACTTTTTACAGCAGAACATCTGGGAAGAAGGCAAGAGAAACAACAAGAAAGAAATAGGTAATGGTGTAGCCGAAACCTGCAAAAAGATGAACAATTCCATCACCCAAGCCACCCGAGAAGCGCAAGACAAATACAGAAAGCAGTGACACCTGGCTACAACCTGGTATCAATGAGATGACAAAAGAAGAAGAAGACGAAGATAAGATAAAGTCTTTGGGCAGTGGCCACAACAGCTATATAACAGCCTTTGGTACTGGTTGCAACTGCACAATATGTAGACATGGAAGTATGATTGCATTCATTTTAAACTAGTATGATGTCATAATAACCTCATACTGACATCAAATCATTCAGTGGCCAAGTCGACAAAACTACTTGTTCCATAGTCAAAGGCAGGGAAAGCAGTTACTTCTCTGCTCCATTTGCATTTAGCAATTAAACCCCCCCCCCAACCCCCCCCCCCCCCCCCCCGCTTCATAAGGCACTAACTTGGCCACAGAGATATAAATATGGCCGGTTTATGCAAAATAAATAATTTATGGGTTGTTAGCCATGGAACTGAAAAATATGGTTGGCTTTTAGCCTTAGAGCTAAAACATAAACTAAAAATAAGTATGGTTTAGGTGAAAGAAATTACCATATCAACTGTAGTGATACCAGAGGACACAAATAAAATTTGTTTTCAACTACAGAACAGGACTATAACATTTGATTTTAAGTAATGTAACTTAAAAATAATATCAACTGTATTGCTACTAGAGAACTAAAATGAAACCTGTTGCTAAGCTACAGAGCAATAAACAAAATAAATATTGTTTTTAAGCCAGCGAGGTAAAGAAAAAAATTATTAAACAAAAAAATAAAAACAGAACCTTCTACTTACTCAGATTTCTTGATCTGTAACTTGGCCAACTCTTTCTGTTTTTCCTTGTATTGTCTCTGCACCTCAGCCAACTTGATTCTCATCTCAGAATCTTCAGAAATCTCCATTTCTATAATATTCACAAGAGAAAATTATAGTACTCACAAGAAAAAAATTACAGCATTCACAAGATAAAGTTATGGCATTCACAAGATAAGGTTTTGGCATTCATCAGATAAGGTTATAGCATTCACAAGATAAAATTATAGCATTCAAAAGATAAAGTTATAGCATTCACAAGACAAAGTTATAGCATTCACAAGATAAAGTAATAGCCTTCACAAGATAAAGTTATAGCATTCACAAGATAAGGTTATAGCATTCAGTAGATAAAGTTATAGCATTCACAAGATAAGGTTATAGCATTCACAAGATAAAGTTATAGCATTCACAAGATAAAATTATAGCATTCAGAAGATAAAGTTATAGCATTCACAAGATAATGTTATAGCATTCACGAGATAAAGTTATAGGATTCACAAGATAAAGTTATAGCATTCACAAGCTAAAGTTATAGCATTCATGAGATAAAGTTATAGCATTCACAAGATAAAGTTATAGCATTCACAAGATACAGTTATAGCATTCAAAAGATAAAATTAAAGCATTCACAAGATAAAGTTATAGCATTCACAAGATACAGTTATAGCATTCAAAAGATAAAATTAAAGCATTCACAAGATAAAGTTATAGCATTCACAAGATACAGTTATAGCATTCACAAGATAATAGTTATAGCCCTCACAAGATAAAATTATAGTCTTCATAAGATAAAGTTATAGCATTCACAAGATAAGGTTATAGCATTCAGAAGATAAAGTTATAGCATTCACAAGATAAAATTATAGCATTCACAAGATAAGGTTATAGCCTTCACAAGATAAAGTTATAGCATTCACAAGATAAAGTTATAGCATTCACAAGATAAGGTTATAGCCTTCACAAGATAAAGTTATAGCATTCACAAGATAAAGTTATAGCATTCACAAGATAAAGTTATAGCATTCACAAGATAAAGTTATAGCATTCACAAGATAAAGTTATAGCATTCACGAGATAAAGTTAAAGGATTCACGAGATAAAATTATAGCATTCACAAGATAAAGTTATAGCATTCACAAGATAAAGTTATAGCATTCACAAGATAAAGTTATAGCATTCACAAGATAAAGTTATAGCATTCACAAGATAAAGTTATAGCATTCACGAGATAAAGTTAAAGGATTCACGAGATAAAATTATAGCATTCACAAGATAAAGTTATAGCCTTCACAAGATAAAGTTATAGCATTTACAAGATAAAGTTATAGCATTCACAAGATAAAGCTATAGCAATCACAAGATAAAATTATAGCATTCACACAAAAAATAATTATAGCCTTCACAAGACAGGATTCAATAGATTCACACCCATGCTCAATACATAATTAAACTGATTCACACAAAAAAAAACATGTACAAGAAATTCAAGACGGGATTCAGAATGTTTTTTCATGTGGACAGGCTCCACAGAATTCTCAACATGTGCTGCAGACATGCTCTAAATGCAGCAGAGAGATCTCAGGTTTGGCTGGTTGGCTTTCGAATGGAAACCAAACTGTATGTAACAGTGGAAGATATGTGTCGCACCACAGACTTCATAGACGCTGTGGTCTTCTAATTCGAAAAACACTAGTAGGGAGACCCAAACCCCCCCCCCCCCTCCCCCCCAAAAAAAACACTACGAGAAAAAGACAAAGAACAACTGTCCTAAATGTACACTGCAGCCTACCTTCATTGTGGAGACAGTACACTGGAGACAGTATACTGGAGACAGTACCCTGGAGACAGCACCCTGGAGACAGCACACTGGAGACAGTACACTAGAGACAGTGCTCTGGAGACAGTATAATGGAGACACTACCCTGGAGACAGCACACTGGAGACAGTACACTGGAGACAGTACACTGGAGACAGCACACTGGAGACAGTACTCTAGAGACAGTACACTGGAGACAGTACTCAGCTGTGTTTTTTTCCCCTTTTTTTTGGGGGGGGGGGGGGAGATTTAAAATCAAACAATAAAATTAAACAGTTAAACATGAATCTATGATAGGTCTGTCAAATCGGTGGAAGATTTAACTACACACATGGCCATGTTCAGGAAAAATTTAGGAGATCCTTACATCAACCCCCCACCCCCCTGCACATTTTGCTGAGGTAAATGGTGCAAGAGAAGAAAAACAACAATGATCAAATTAGCAGATTTTGAAGAAAAATGTACTTAACGGACAATACACAGTCAAAAAAATCATCGAGTGTTTTGGCTACTTTAGTTACTTTCTGTTAGGGAAAGAAGCTAAGCTGGCATAGTGGCTAGATGCACACCTACCAGTCTTAAAGTCTTGGATTCAGACTGGCATTTCAGCAATTTTTTTGCAAAATAAAATTGTTTCAAGATAGTTAAAAGGTTAGTTGCATATCCTTTTTCTAGGCAAATTTAACATTCAGTAGTTTGCCACTGCTTTCTGAACAGTCAGGTCTCTGTACCATGGTTGAAACCAAGGCAAGACAAAACTGTCTGCAGCTGGGATCAAATCCGGCACCCCTGGCATTATGAAGCATGTTCGCAACGCCAAAGCCATAGACATGATATTCCAGATAGACTTTTTTAAAAATGCGTACAAAGAAAAGTCTCCTTCTTCTTCTTTGAGGTTCATCAGGTGTTACCTCTGGTAGAACGTTCTGGTTGTTCGTCCATCTCTGGACTTCAATCTTGTTCCAAATAACGTCAGTTTTGTGTGCACATCTATCTCACAAACCTAGCTTTTTTGTATGCAGGCTGGTGTCTCCTCGCTAGCTTATTTGTATGCAGGCTGGTGTCTCTTCGCTAGCTTATTTGTATGCAGGCTGGTGTCTCCTTGCTAGCTTATTTGTATGCAGGCTGGTGTCTCCTCGCTAGCTTATTTGTATGCAGGCTGGTGTCTCTTCGCCTCTCCAGCGGACGTATTCAGACTTTAAAGGAAACAACCCCTAATTAGTCACTTTCACACTCCAAGTCTGGGTTCTGAGGCCTAGTTGTGGGGAAACCAAGAATAGACCCATTACCTGCCCAAAAGCATGTCGTAAGAGTCAACTAATTGGGAGCTTCATTCAAAGACGGAGTACATCTGCCTGAGAGGCAAGGAACCAACAGTTTGCATGCAAATGAGTCAGACCTGTGAAATGGATGTACACGCAACACTCAAGTTCTGGAACAGGACTAGAGTCCAGAAGTGGATGAACAACCAGAACTTTTCACAGGAGCTAACAGCCGGTGAACGAGAAGAAGAAGAGTCGCTTACCCAGCATGCTTGTTTGGGGGCAGGAACCCATATTGGAGAAGTGATCAAAATGATGCTGACCACATTACACACCGAGTGTCGACTGGTCTAGCAAACTGTGTATCTAGTACCATATATCTGGTATGTCAATGGCATGAACAGAACCCTTTACTTCCTATACTTTATGTTATACAACAAACAGACTTGTATTACCTGTTGGAGTTTTGAAGTCCCCAAGTGACGAAGCCATCTGAGGTTCCTTCTTGGGGAGTGACCATTTTGGTGACAGATCCCTCCTGATTTCTCTTCTCGGTGTGCACTGCCCACTCTTCAACTCCATGTCTCCTGGTGACAGTGTATCTTCTATTGCAGCCAGACTAGCTGAATCCGACTTGAAGGAGTCACTGGGAGAAGGGAAAATCCTTTTCGGATCATCAATAGAGGAACATTTAGGTCTTTTCTCAGCAAGCGTGCTTAAAAGTTCAAGACCATCAGCAGCCTGGAGGATTTGTGGATCTGTAAATGGATTGTATGAGGCACGATCCAGATGAGACTTCTCCTCCAGGCAGTGGGTTAATGTATCCACACAATCAATATCTGGACAATGCACTGAGAGAGGGTTAAATGCAGTAAAATCTGGAGAAAGTGTCTGAACAGCCTGGTCTTGTGACAAGAGCGTCTGGGGAGATAACTTCCTTTTACAGCTGGACTTCATTAAGCTATCACAAGTTTGAACTCCGATGGAGCAGGTTTTTGGTTTTTCTGTTGTCAAACATGACAAGGTGGATAAGATGGATAACGGAGATGAGATATCCTCAAACATTATTGGTGAACATCCTCTTGACTCGACCGTCGGTCGCTCCACCTTGACTAAAACTGATGCAGCTATAGAGCTGGTATTAGTCACCGGGTTTACGATAATTGTTGGAGTGTTGGTGGTGGTGGCGGTAGTAGTTGTCAAGGTAAATGAAGCACCAAAATGAGGCTGTTTTCCATCATCTGAAAAAGAAACCATTAAAAATATGTTATGGTGATCTGGTTGCATTTCTACACAATTTTTTTTGGTCAACTGAGACGAGAAAAAGGATTCTCAAGAGCTAAATTAATAATATCCTTATATATGCAAGTGAATCATGGATAGTTGGAGGATTCATGAAACATTTGGAAGCGGCGGAGATGTGGTTTTATAGACGAATGAAGAGAATACCTTTGACAGATTAAAAGAGTAATGAAGACGTCTTGAAAAAAAAAAACTGGCTCAAGAACAGAACTGATTGGCAACATCAGAAGGGGATAATCTAACTGTCTGGTCATGTCAAGACAAGGAGAAAACTGGAGTATATCATCACAGTAGAAAAGCTGGAGTATATCATCACAGTAGAAAAGCTGGAGTATATCATCACAGTAGAAAAACTGGAGTATATCATCACAGTAGAAAAGCTGGAGTATATCACCACAGTAGAAAAACTGGAGTATATCATCACAGTAGAAAAGCTGGAGTATATCATCACAGTAGAAAAGCTGGAGTATATCATCACAGTAGAAAAGCTGGAGTATATCATCACAGTAGAAAAGCTGGAGTATATCATCACAGTAGAAAAACTGGAGCTGAAAAGAGGCCGACAGAAAGATCGAGACAGAGAAGAGACTAGACAGTCTGACATCATGGCATAGAAGATCTTGTGTGTCAGAACTGACTCAAAGTATCCAAGATAGAAGACTGCAGACAGACATGACTATCAGTGTTGCCACTTTTCTTTGACAAAAAACATCCAAAATGGAGTTTTAAAAAATCTAAAAACATCTAATCTAAACTTGCGTGGAAAAAATCTAGAAAAAACATCCAAATAGAAAGAGTCACCAATTACACAGCAATTGATATTACTTAGCCTATAGAATCATGTCCTCATCTTTACTGAAGTCTGCCTTACAAGATCCACAGGATAAACTTAGCTTGGATGATGAAGCTTCAGATCCAAAATGACTCTGGTATGCTTTAGTTGTTCCAATTTCTTTTAATACCCAATCAGGGAGCTGATAAATGGAAAAGCCTTTTCCTACTCTTATCAGGCAAAATTGTATTGTCAAGATAGCATTTAAGAGGTCAAATTTCATTCTGTTTCTTAGGTTAGATTTGATAAATTCACTCCGAATGACAAACAACTAGAAAAACATCTACCATCTAAATATCAAAAACGCCATCTAAAAAACATCTAAATCTGGATTTAAAACATCCAAAGTGGCAACACTGATGACTATCAACACCACATGGTATGTATGGGGTATAAGATGAAGCATCTGGTTACAATAATAATCAATTTATTATGATCAGATAAGTGGCTTAGAGGGTTCTTTTCTTTTAGTTCACCCCATCTCTGGGATTTAAGATTTCTTGGGGAGTTCCTGGAAAAGTCTAATAGTATGGGGGTGTTAGGGTGTGAAATGAACACAAACACTAACCCCCACACACACACATAATATTGGACTCCTCCCAATCTCAGAGTCCCTAAGAAGGGGGGAACTAAAAGAAAACTACCACTTAGTGTTAAGGTGCCTACAACTCAAAATGTATGGTTCAATTCCCAGCCTGGAACATGTTGAGAGAGAGAGAGAAAGAGAGAGAGAGAGGGAGAGAGGGGGAGAGAGAGAGGGAGAGAGAGAGGGGAGAGAGAGAGAGAGAGAGGGAGAGAGAGAGGGGGGAGAGAGAGAGAGAGAGAGAGAGAGAGAGAGAGAGAGAGAGAGAGAGAGAGAGAGAGAGAGAGAGAGAGAGAGAGAGAGAGAGAGAGAGAGAGAGAGAGAGAGAGAGAGAGAGAGAGAGAGAGAGTCTTCAATTCTTTGAGGTTGTTCTTGATGACATCATTGCATCTTTCCTGTGGTATCCCCTTGTCAAATGTTTATTATGGACTATTTATGTAAACTTCAAACTTGACACTTTTCAAACCACCCAGGACATTTTTCAAAGAAAACTGGCTAATTTTTAAACCACCTGGGACATTTTTTGAGTCAAACTGGGTGATTTTCAACCCATCTATGACATTTTTCAAATAAAATGGATGATTTTAAAATTTAAAAAAAAGAAAAAAATTTCAGTCTGCTATGACAAGTGTTCTAGCTAATTTGAAAATTATTCAGTTTGTTTTGAAAAGCATCCTAGGTAGTTTGAAAATCATCCAATTTAGTTTGAAAAACTTGCAATTTAGTTTGAAACATATCCAGTTCATATTTCTTCAGCCTGGCTTTCCGGCAGTTGTTAGCAGGGCATTCTTGTCCTAAAAACCAGACAAGGACCAGGCTGCATGTTTGAAAATCCAGCGTAAGTTGAGGGGAAAATAATCAGAATTCCAAATGGGTTGCTGACCAGGTAAAAAATGTTTTTAAATGACAAGCCTATCCAACAAAGATTATTGAAAACACATTTGATTCTCGCATACACACATCTGGATCCTCACCAGTGCCTCCATTCTTCTGTGTGCTGTACTGAGTTGCTCTCTGTTTAACTATCTTTGTCCACACTGCTTTCTAAACTGGCGTACTCTTAGTACTTTTGATTCGGAAACATTTTAATCCTTTCATTAGCCAGAAATTCGTCTTCTTCTAATGTGCTCGGCTTTAAAAGGGCGGCTGGTATGTTGTGTTGTGGTTTACAGCTAGGCCTTTTTACAGCCCTGCCAAAAAACTACACTGATCAGTGAGTGCCGACAGCCAGCTCTAAAGGCCTTTCAGCTCAAATGGGAATTCCCATTTTTGTAAGGCTGGTGTGACCGTTCGGTGGTAACAATTGTTATTCAATTATTGTTATTGAATGACTTATCATTTTAAAGATAAATATTTTCTAATAGCCCATTTATTTATCTTCAAAATAATAACTCACTCAAAAATAAATGTTGCAAATTAATTAAACTGTAGTTCAATTTGTGTATACATCTATTCGATAACAATTCTTACTACTGACTGGCCCCACCAGCCTCACAAAAACGGGAATTCCCATTTCTGCTGTACGGCCTTATATCTGGAGCTGGCCATGGTGAGTGCCTAACCATGTCATTACTCTAGCATCACAGAAGGAAAGGTAGAAGACACACAAAGTGTTAAATAACTATATTCTCCCCAACCTTTTGTCAGCTGAGGGACATCTTTTGAGATGGAGTCCGGGGTTGGAATGGTCTTGTCTGCTGTGTTTGCTGATGAAGAACTCTTGGCTGTGGCATCCTAGAGAAAATGATTTGTGCACTATCAGCAATAGTTACATAATCAAGCTTTATTAAATGTATCAGAAATATTTCAGACTTTCTATCTATGAGGGACATTCAGACATGACTACCAGCCCAGACTGGGTAATAATACACACTGATGTCATAAATTGTGAAGACGGTGGATAGCATGTCAATAATTAGTATTGCAATTGTCAGTTAGCAATAGAAGTGTTGTAAAACTTCTGGTATTTTCACAGGTTTGCACAAAATGTGCTCTTCAAAGTCACAGATGTTGTAGATTTCTAAGGTCTGAACAGCTGCTCTCTAAATTTTATTTCTGCACCAGATGAGAGCAGCTGCTGTGGTATAGTGACTAGAGGCTCATCTTCAGATCTTTAGATTGTGAGTTCAGGTCCAGATAGGGCCGGACAAGAAAAAAAAAAAGGAACAGACCTTGGCTCCCACGTAAACCCAATCTTAAATGGGTACTAGGTAAAGTCCAGGGAGGTAAAGGTGGCTAGTGTGATGTTGGCCAGATCACCCATCGAGTGCCAAATGGTTTATAAAATATAGGTCTAGCCCTATATGCCCAACAAACCTAAAGGCAAGAAAAAAAGGTCATGTTACAAAGTGATAACTGAAGACCATCCTGTCTTGAGCGACTGGTCTATTGGCTTGGAGTTGTTTGATATAACAGAGAAGTCTATACCCTTCAACTTGTCTGTCTTGGAAAGCATACCTTTTGACCTGTCTTGACTCAGTTGACTAAGCCATACTATCTGGCCTGTCTGACCCAGTAGACTGAATCATACTGTCTGACCTGACTTAGGAGACGGAACCATACACTCTGATCTGACTCAGGAGACTGAACCATACTGTCTGACCTGTCTGACTCAGGAGACTGAACCATACTGTCTGACCTGTCTGACTCAGGAGACTGAACCATACTCTCTGACCTGACTTAGGAGACGGAACCATACACTCTGATCTGACTCAGGAGACTGAACCATACTCTCTGATCTGACTTAGGAGACTGAACCATACTCTCTGACCTGTCTCACTTAGAAAACTGAACCATACTCTCTGACCTGACTCTGAAGACTGAACCATCCTCTCTAATCTGACTCAGGAGACTGAACCATACTATCTGATCTGACTCAGGAGACTGAACCATACTCTCTGACCTGTCTGACTCAAAAAACTGAACCATACTCTCTGACCTGTCTGACTCAGGAGACTGAACCATACTCTCTGATCTGTCTGACTCAGGAGACTAAACCATACTCTCTGACCTGACTCAGGATACTGAACCATACTCTCTGATCTGTCTGACTCAAGAGACTGAACCATGCTCTCTGACCTGTCTGATTCAGGAGACTGAACAATACTCTCTGATCTGTCTGACTCAGGAGACTGAACCTTAATCTCTGACCTGACTCAGGAGACTGAACCATACTCTCTGATCTGACTCAGGAGACTGAACCATACTCTCTGACCTGTCTGACTCAGGAGACTGAATTATACTTTCTGATCTGACTGATTCAAGTGACTGAACCATAATCTCTGACTTGTTTGACTGAGGAGACTGAATTATACTCTCTGATTAAATTTAGGAAATTGACCCATACCTTTTTACATGCCTGATCAAAAATATTAGCCTGTAGACACACTCTGAGCTGTCTGATTTTAGAGACGGGACTACCATCTATGACTTCACTAACTTTGGAAAACTTTCAAGCAGCTACTCCACCAGCAGTATTGTCAAAGAAATATAAAATGCCTTCTACCACTGACAAATGATAACTGGAAATATAAGATTCCACTGCTGTAACACTAACTGCATAAGTCATTCTCTGCAATTCTCTAACACAACCTTTTTTGCATGGAATTTGTTTATCACTCTTTCAGTAACAAGTAAGGCATCATACACACACAGGTTCCTACACAGAAACCAAAAGAAGGCAAAATGCGATTTTACATTGCTCTGTACTACTCCTTGCACCTCCGATGCAACCCCCCCCAAACCCCCTCCCGCCCCGGGACTGAAAGAGTTAAGAGCCTTTATTTCACTCACTTCTGCTGGTTTTTCCTCTCTCCTCTCTGGTCCATTCAGTGTGACAGTCGGAGGGTTCAACGGTGCTTGGTAGTGGGTATTTCCTGCCTCTGCGGATGGAGCAAATGCTGGTGATGGCCACACACCTCCTTGCTCAACAAAATCTGAATTTGCAAATAGAAAACACAAAATAAAGAATATGAATTTTCAGTCTCACCAAAAGATTTAATTTTGAATTCACTTTTCAACAATCAACCTTTCCCCTTATATCTGTAATGACAAGTATATCATAAAGGTTTCTACTTATGTAACAGAAAGACAATCAGCGATTATCAATGAATACACAAATGCCTTTTATTCTGTTGTGCTGATATTAATTCTGTTGTCTCAGGAAAGCTACAAAAAAAAAAAAGAAAAAATGGGCCATGACCCTGTGTGAATTTCTGAAAAAAAGTTTTTATGATTTTTTTTAAAACTACTATTTTATATAGTTCACATACATTTTTTTTTAAGCAATTATGTATCTAGGATTGGATTGGCTTTTTACCCCACCAGGACATCACACAAGCGATAAACACCCGATGACACAAAGTGCCACCATGCGGATGAGGATCACCGTGGAGAGGTCCCAGACACCGCGTTCAGACATTTGGCCATAATGATGACCTGCCTTTATTGCGGCCCCTTGCAAAAGCCAGAGTGGGGCTTCAAATAACAAAAAATAACGTCCTAAGAAGGATGTACAGCTCATTATGTATCTAGATTTGAAAAAATAATTCTAAATATACAAAGATATATAGAGCGAGTAATCAGCAAACACGAATAGGGTGAAGCACCTTGGGCCTTAAAAAAACATTATTGTGATTTATGCCATGTCCAATTGACCTCTATCTCTGAAGCTCAAAAAGCGACAGGGTTATGCATACCCTTTCCTCTCCATTTTCACAGTATATATCTTTAAAAAACAAAACCAAACCATGTCATCTGTTATTGAAGCAACTTATATGCATATTATCTCCCCTTAATAAATACATGACTGGTCAAAAGAAACAAATGACCAGCAAGAAAAAAAAAATGCTATAACAATTCAGCGAATGAGATACAAGTACATTACAAGAATAAAGGTTTGCATATAAAATGGTAATATATCTTAAACCTGTCACCTTGAGAAACCGACACTTACTGTTCGGTCCGATTCCATAAAAGTCAATTTTTCGACCAGGCTACAGCAACCTAGCTAATAACATTGTTATCACTTGCCTGTATGCACATGTTCAGGGTTGGCCAGGAATTGCTAAATTTACTTTTGAATAAATAGCATTTAGATAGGCTTTACTGTGAAAATATAACTTTAATAATAGAAATTTTGATACTATAATTTTTTTTTTTTTTTTTCAACTGAGTTTTAAAAAAGAATTGTATCCCTAAATGTTTATTTTACATTCAAAGAGACGGGACCCAGTTGATTCTCTGCTGCAATAGTATTACTGATAACTCACCATAATTCTGTACGGAATGCAATATTGATTTGGTCGATAAATAGAAGAGCAATGAATTTGTGTGACTATTTTTGTTGTTGTTGAGATTCTCTGATTTCATGTCATTGGCATTATTATTATTTTTTTCAGGTCACCGGGGTGACAGGTTTAAGACAGAATAACGTCATCCCAGATCACTCTGAATATTCCCAAAGACAGATTACACAACATGATTATTATATTTATTTGAAAAGCCCACTAAAAATATATTCAGCTTAACACTTTATACTCCTACAATCATTTACAATTAACTCATAATCTATGCAGTATCAAATAGCCAAAAGTCACTGACAAGCATAAATATTCATTAATAAAATAGGGAAAACCTCCATATATCCCAAGTATGGTAGTTGTTGTGGTGTAGCTGCTAGGTGCTCACCTGTGGATCTAAAGGTTGTGGGTTCAGTTTCCAACACAGCTGGACTTCTTAAAAGAATGACCTTTGCCCCCATGTGGACCCAGCCTCAAATGGCTGCAAGGTTGAGTCCCAGGAAGTAAAGGCAGTCGGCGTGCTGTTAAACACATCACCCAGCGAGTGCCGATTGGTCTAACAAAAAATTTAAGTCTAGCCCCATATGCCTAATACGTGTGAAAGCAGGAAAAAGGGTCCCTTTATATCCCAATTAGACGTCTGATGGGTTGAACAGAATATCACTGATTAAATTACTGCTACATATTTTTTTATAATCCACAGAAATGTACCTCCACTGGGAATCAGGAACAGTCTACCACTCAGAGAATCATGAGCCAGTTTGAACCCACTGGGAGCTGTAATTGGGAAGCTGGGATCAAACGCGGTTCCTGTTGGGTTCAGGGTCTGATGGATCGGGAATGGCATCTGTTGTAACCATGGAGACTGGTTGACTGTAGAACCTGAATAAGAATAACATAAGATTAACTGGTGAATGTGATGAAGTTTGTTTCTAAATAGTTGTATTCAGTGTTACTGCAATCTGTTGTAAAGCTTTACAGAGAATGGGCTGTTAGCACAAGTTAATGATAAAACAGTCTTTAGATAAATATTTGAAGATCTGTTTGTAGAAGCTGACCAGACGATGATCCTTTACAACAAATGAGCACTGTAAGGTCTGCTCGTACAAGCCGAACATGAGATCAATCTTCAGAACAATGAGCCCGTCTCTCTAGCGTAGTTGGCTAAACAGAATTGCGCGGTGAGTGGGTGACAAACTCCTTGTGGTCCGGGTTCACTCCCGGGGGTAGGCAGAAAAGCCACATTTGCTCCAAGATTTACAATGGAATCAAGGCCGAAAGGTTGCGACATCCATAATACCGAGCCTAAGGGTTAACAACTCATGGCTTCTGGATACTAAAACAAACAAAAACATCAGAACAATGAAATTAGAAGTTCTGTCCATACAAGCTAACATGGGATCAACCATATCAAATGAATGTAATATCATCTTCCAGAGCAGATGCGCATCAGAAGATCTGTTTATACAAGCTCACCAGGAAAAGATCCTTTACAAAAGATGAGCACTGGAACGTCTGTTCTTACAAGCTAACATGAGATCAACCATATCAAATGAATGTCATATCAACTTCCGCAGCAGACGAGTATCAGAAAGTCTGTTCATACAAGCTGGACATGAGACCAACATTCATAGAAGATGAACACTGGAAGATCTGTTAATACAAGCCAAAAGGACATCAACTTGCAGAGCCAATACACAGTGGAAGGTTTGCTGACATACAGTAAACCTTATATATATTTAATAATATTTATAATGTGAGCTGCTAATGGCAAACACTCTTTTAAAATTAACATAATTATAGTTCCATCAGCCCAGGTATAATATTAGAACAAAGTCTTGTATTTAAAAAAATAATTTAGTTAAGTATAATTTTTTTTTTAAAGAAGAAATTTGTTTAGCTAAACTTTTTTTTTCACTTAATATTTTAAACTATAAATATATATATATATTACTTAACAACATACAATGGCAAATTACCTGTGACCACCAAACTTGGTGCCATGGGCGCTGCCGGAGCCGCCAAAGCGGTGGAGGCCGTGGTTATAGCCTTGGTATTGAGAGAGGTGTGGATATGTCTGAAAAATTCATGGACGATATGTTTGTAAAAGGAAAGATTCACATTAAAATAAAAATTTATCTAAGAAAGATTTAAACAGAAATATTTGTATAAGAAAGAATCATACATAAAAGATTCATATAAGAAACTCGTACATGAAAATATTCACAAAGCAAAGAATCGTTTAAAGACATATTCATACAAGAAGGCTTTATATATGAAAAGACTGAGATAAAAAATCAGGAAGGAAGGAGGGGTAGGGGCTGACCAATGCGAAGATGGGCACAGGATATAAGTGACTTCTTGAGTATGAAAGTGCAAGAGGCCGGAGAGCTGGCGAGAGGCTGAGTTTCTTTCAGGCAGACCGTGATGAGAGTGACATTCTGCAAAGGACCTGCTACATGAGGATGATGATATAAAAAATATATCTATATGAAGGATTTCTAAAAGAAAGAAACACTTCTATACAAAAAAGGTTCACATAAATATGATTTGTATGAAGAAAGATTCCATGTTAGAAAAATGTGCATCATGAAAATTTGTACAATTCTGGAGCTCTTGTGTATGCCAGTATCTGCTGGTGTCTATTATGTGCTGGTGTCTATTATCTGCTGGTGTCTATTATCTGCTGGTGTCTATTATGTGCTGGTGTCTATTATGTGCTGGTGTCTATTATCTGCTGGTGTTTATTATCTGCTGGTGTCTATTATCTGCTGGTGTTTATTATCTGCTGGTGTCTATTATGTGCTGGTGTTTATTATGTGCTGGTGTCTATTTGCTGGTGTTTATTATCTGCTGGTGTCTATTATCTGCTGGTGTTTATTATCTGCTGGTGTCTATTATCTGCTGGTGTTTATTATCTGCTGGAGTTTATTATGTACTGGTGTCTATTATCTGCTGGTGTTTATTATGTACTGGTGTCTTTTATCTGCTGGTGTCTATTATCTGCTGGTGTCTATTATCTGCTGGTGTTTATTATCTGCTGGTGTCTATTATCTGCTATTGTTTATTACCTGCTGGTCTTTATTATCTGCTGGTGTTTATTATCTGCTGGTGTCTATTATCTGCTGGTGTCTATTATCTGCTATTGTTTATTATCTGCTGGTCTTTATTATCTGCTGGTGTCTATTATCTGCTGGTGTCTATTATTTGCTGGTAATTATCATCTTCTGGTGTCTATTATTTGCTGGTGTTTGTTATCTGCTGGTGTTTATTATCTGCTGGTGTCTATTATGTGCGGGTGTTCATAATCTGCTGGTGTCTATTTTCTGCTGGTGTTTATTATCTGCTGGTGATTATTATCTGCTGGTGTCTATTATCTGCTGTCTATTATCTGCTGGTCTTTATTATCTGCTGGTGTTTATTATTTGCTGGTGTCTATTATCTACCGGTGTCTATCATCTGCTGGTGTCTATTATCTGCTGGTGTTTATTATCTGCTGGTGTCTATTATCTGCTGGTGTTTATTATCTGCTGGTCTTTATTATCTGCTGGTGTCTATTATCTGCTGGTGTCTATTATTTGCTGGTAATTATTTTTTGCTGGTGTCTATTATTTGCTGGTGTTTGTTATCTGCTGGTGTTTATTATCTGCTGGTGTCTATTATGTGCGGGTGTTCTTAATCTGCTGGTGTCTATTTTCTGGTGGTGTTTATTATCTGCTGGTGATTATTATCTGCTGGTGTCTATTATCTGCTGGTGTCTATTATGTGCAGGTGTTTATTATCTGCTGGTAATTATTATCTGCTGGTGTTTATTATCTGCTGGTGTCTATTATCTGCTGTCTATTATCTGCTGGTCTTTATTATCTGCTGGTCTTTATTATCTGCTGGTGTTTATTATCTACCGGTGTCTATCATCTGCAGGTGTCTATTATCTGCTGGTGTTTATTATCTGCTGGTGTCTATTATCTGCTGGTGTCTATTATCTGCTGGTGTCTCTGCTTGACTATGCTTATAAAGCAATCATGCTGAAATGTATGCGTGCATGCATAGGTGTGTGTGTGTGACAGAGTGGAAGAGCTTTTAAAGATACAAGCACATCTGAAAAAGAGAGCAGTGTGTACTTGCTAGTGTTTGTGTGTGTGTGAGAGAGAGAAAGAGAGAGAGAGAGAGAGAGAGAGAGAGAGAGAGAGAGAGAGAGAGAGAGAGAGAGAGAGAGAGAGAGAGAGAGAGAGAGAGGGGGGGGTGAAAGATAGAGAGAAAGAGACGGAAGGAGGAAGAGCAGCATACATTCAATATGCCTCTTTATGTTGAAAGAGGTATGTTTTTCCCCTTACAGTATAATTCACATATTTGCATTACTGCAATGGATACTGTTATGGCATAGAATTAGGAATACAGAAAACAATGCAAGAATACAATTAAAAAGAGGTTAAGTAAGAACAACAATTACAGGGAAAAGGGAGGGTGGGGGCTAGCCAACAAAGCACCTAAACAAAACCTGCCAGTTAAGCCTATGACAACAGAAAACATGCTGGGAGTAGATAGTCCAAATGTATTAACCACAGGGACAGATTAAATAGGCATATTACAAAAATAGGGGTAAGCATATGAGGTGTTAAAATATCTTAAAACAAAAGAATGGTATCCCAGACAGCTTTAAATATCCACAAAGACGGATTACACAATTTTATTTCTATTTCTGTTTGAAAGGTACAATTAAAATAGTTTAAACTTTACGATCTATGCTTCTAAAGTCCTATACAATTAATACATAAGAGAAGAAGAAAAAAGAAGAAAAAGAAGAAGAAAAACAGCCGAGAGGCACAAATATCCATTATTTAAAAATAAAGAAAACTCTATATATCCTGAATATAAAATGGATGGTTTGAACTGTAAATTGTTTAAATTACTTTTACTACTGACCTGTTGTCTCTTGACAGGTTCTCAGGCCCTTGAGATTCTGTGACAGAAAACAAGTTGAAGAAACCATTAATGTGTACAACAAATGTTTCTCAGAAAATATTTTTCCACATGTGGGTTCTGGGGCCCCTTGGAGAAGTGGGGGGGGGGGGGGAGATAGTCCCCCTGCCCACTCCCAACAAGCATGTAGTAAAAAGATGATTAATGATGGATTTGTTCCTCCTAACATCGTAGCACACCTGAACCAAGTGGCGGGGTCGGCACACAAGTAAGCCATGTCTGTAAAACGGATGTGCACACAAAATTCAGGTGCTACGGCAGTGCTTCCCCAACCTGGGGCCCACGCGGCACAGAAGGGCCTTTTGATTGTTAAGGGGGCAATTCAAAAATGGACTCATCCACAATTAAAGTTAACCAGTTGGCAATGTTAAATGGAGGGGGGGTGGAGAGGGATACGAATTTAAGAAAAATTAAGATGCAGCAAAGTGCACAAAATGTTGGAAAACACAGTTCTAGAACAAGAACAATTGTCGAGAAGTGAACAAACAACTGGAACTTTCCACAAGTTTACAGCTGAAGAATAGGAAGAGGAAGAAACAATTATTTTGGTAATGAAAGAAAGAAAAAAAAAAAACACAAGGCAGTGAACTAATAAATAACTAGCTAGATGTGGTCAAGGCTCTTTTAGAGACAGTGAACTAAAGAATAACTAGCTAGATGTGGTCAAGGCTCTTTTGGAGGCAGTGAACTAATGAATGACTAGCTAGGTGTGGTCAAGGCTCTTTTGGAGGTAGTGAACTAATGAATAACTAGCTAGGTGTGGTCAAGGCTCTCTTGGGGGTAGTGAACTAATGAATGACTAGCTAGGTGTGGTCAAGGCTCTTTTGGAGGCAGTGAACTAATGAATAACTAGCTAGGTGTGGTCAAGGCTCTCTTGGGGGTAGTGAACTAATGAATGACTAGCTAGGTGTGGTCAAGGCTCTTTTGGAGGCAGTGAACTAATGAATAACTAGCTAGATGTGGTCAAGGCTCTTTTGGAGGCAGTGAACGAATGAATAACTAGCTAGATGTGGTCAAGGCTCTTTTGGAGGCAGTGAACTAATGAATAACTAGCTAGATGTGGTCAAGGCTCTTTTGGAGGCAGTGAACTAATGAATGACTAGCTAGATGTGGTCAAGGCTCTTTTGGAGGCAGTGAACTAATGAATAACTAGCTAGATGTGGTCAAGGCTCTTTTGGAGGCAGTGAACTAATGAATGACTAGCTAGGTGTGGTCAAGGCTCTTTTGGAGGCAGTGAACTAATGAATAACTAGCTAGATGTGGTCAAGGCTGTTTTGGAGGCAGTGAACTAATGAATAACTAGCTAGATGTGGTCAAGGCTCTTTTGGAGGCAGTGAACAATGTGGAAGCAGAAACAGATCACTACAACTTATTTACTTAGTCTCCCCGTGTGGGTTCCAGGGCTTTGTTATAGGGAAAACAAGAATAGACCCACTGCCTACCCATAAGCATGTCGCAAGAGTCGACTTAATGGGAGCTTCCTTCGAAGTCGGAATGCATCTGCCTGAGAGGCAAGGAACCAGTAGTCTGCATACAAATGAGTCAGATCTGTAAAACGGATGCACATGCAACACTCAGGTTCTGGAACATGACTGCAGTCCAGAAGTGGATGAACAACCAGAACTTTCCACCAGAGTTTACAGCTGGTGAACACGAAGAAGAAGAAGATTTACTCAGTCACTCCTCTTCTACCTCGGGGTGTAGGAGTTTGCCAGAGAGATCACCTCACTTTTTTCAGCAGTCTTCTTTTTTATTTTTTTATTTATTTTGTTTTTGTTTTATGTTTTGTTTACAGCCAGTGCACATGACATGAAGAAGAAAAAGAACCTGTGCTGTGTACAGTTACTTATAATTTTTTAGGAAATGCGTGTGTGTTTGCGTGCGTGCATGTGCATGTGCCTGCATATTTATATATGCTTTGCAGACTACTCCTCGGAAAAGATGGAGTGATGGCATTAAAAACAGCCTTACAGAAATGATCATCAGTCTTAATTGTGCTCTTGATAGAGCTCATCAACGAACGTTACACCCCCCCCCCCCCCCCCCGACACTTCGATGAGGTTCAAGGTGGAAGAGAAGAAGAAGCAGACTACACAAAAGCCATGAACCCACGATAAACGTCAAGTCGAGAGGAACGACTTCCTTACACTGGGTTTTATCCCATATGGCTCAGTGTCTCTCTACCGGCCTGCTGAGTGTGTCATACAAAGCACGAACGCCGTAGCTCCAGCAATGATTTCCATGGTCACACACAAAACGGTTATGAAGTCACCTGTAGTCCAGGTGAGGGTGGGTGTAGAAGGTCATGGTGATGCAGCAGTGGTGCCGCCGACACAATGAAAACATTTAGGGTGCTAAGCTCCCTTTAAAAAATGTGGGTGGGGGTGGGCGGGAGGAGGAGCCTCAGGTCTACGCCTTCTTTAAGTGCACACTAATAATAGTAATGTGCTAAAGGTGAAATAAAATACTATACATGTGTGTATATGTGCATGTGGTATACACACACACATGCATGAATTAGTCTGAAATGCATAAACTGCCAACAAACGGCCACTACTGCCTATATTTACCACTTTTGTGGTGTATGCAGCCTTGGGGGAGGGGGGGGGGCAGCCTTAAGATTTAGAGCTGCATGGCTAGTGGAGTCGTCACCCACTGTGCAGGCCAGGATTTTGGAATGCACAAACAAATGCTTTAAGAGAGAACTAAATACGTTATGAGGCCTCCACCTTTCTCCCTTATAAATGTTTTAGAGATGACTCTGTGCCGCCCCTCAACCTTTTAACAATTTGTATGATGGCCCAAGTGGCCAAACCCCCCCTCCCCCCCCCCAAATATTTGGGCACCTCTGTGACATGTGCTGATGAGGGCGTTCTAGCCGCAACGTTCACAGGTCGTTTGTGTTTGTGATAAATTTGGCGCTGACTATTTCTTGTGTATTATTGTGTATTTCTTGTGTATTATTGTATGCTTGTGTATCTTGTAATATTTGTGTATTATCACCTTTACTTTTCATAATATTTATTGACAATATTAATAAAATAGACACAACACCAACAGATGTCGATAAACAGTACTTCAATGAGCTGCTCTTTGCCGACGATCAATGCATTTTTCACAGTGATAGTAAACAGCTGCAAGACCACATAAACCTACTACACGACAGTTGCCTCAAGCATCATATGAAGATCAATACTGAAAAGACAGAAGTCATGAGCATAAGTAGAGAGCAACAGACCATCGACATAAAGATTCTAGATCACAGACTAAAACAAGTGCAAGAATTTAAATACTTGGGAAGTATCTTTACATTCAATGGTAAAATAGACAGAGAGATCGAAGCAAGAATCCAACAAGCCAACAATGTCGCAAACCAGCTTGTCCCAATTTTAAAACACCCTGCTGTCCCAGCTGAGATAAAAAGACAAATTATAAATACAATCTTTATACCGACGTTAGGTTATCAATGTCAGACTTGGACATTAACAAAAGAACACGAGAGAAGACTAACCACCTGTGAAATGAGATGTTTGAGAATGGCTGCGAATAAAACCAGAAGAGATCGAGTGAGAAACGATATGATTACAAGAACTATTGGAACCATACCCATCGTTAAATTTACTGAGAAGCAAAGAATGAAATGGTTTGGTCACCTAGTGAGAATGGAACCAACGATGCCAGCATCAAGAGCATACAACATGAAAATCGAAACACCAAGAGGCAGGGGAAGACCAAGAAGAATATGGATTGAAGGAGTCACGGACAACTTGACTTCATAACATCACGGCATATGAAGCGACTGAGCGCGCCCTGGCTCGGTTGCCGATCATCTGATAGACTGCGACGCCTAGCGGCACAAGCAGATTTTGACAAAAGAAGAAGAAGACTATTTCTACTTATCACAAACATCAGAAAGAGACAGACATCATTCGTGGTTATGTTATAAGAGGATAGAAACTGGAACACGTTGTGACCACTGAAAAGATAGAGGAAGACAGCGCGAGTTTTTCTTGACAGCCATATGTCATGGCATGGAGGGGTGCCAACACACGAAATGATATACACAGTTACAGATCGCAGATGGTGGAGAGGCATGATCGCCCACGCCAGTCAGCAAGGCATTTCATGATGACGACTAGTTGTAACTCTCGTTTGGTATGATATCTTTCCTATGATGAAGCGGCTGTGGTCACAGTGCTCCCGCGGAGCCAAAAGCACACAGACAAATCACACACAGGAACTTACCATTCGACTGCTGAACATGGTGAGGTCTGATCTGCGCAACAGCGATTCCCACCGGGATGTTTCCTGCATGGTTGAGAAAAACAAGGTCAAGCTTTAGTGGAGAATTTCGGGTGGGCCGCCAAAAAATGTCTGCATACTCCTGTAACGGCGTAGGTCCCTTTTTTCCACGCTGTAAAACGTATTGGGAATATAGGACTAGATCTCTATTTTCATAGACCTATAGGCACTTGGGGAAAAGGGGGGGGGGGGGGTGTGGTCAGAATCACGCTGAGACCTTTACTTCCCAGGACTGCACCTAGTATACCAATTCAAGGCTGGGTCGACCTCGTAGTCAAGATCATTTTTAAAAAAAGTTCAGCTCCGTCAAGACGCGAACCCACGGCATTTCAATCCGCAGACGGATCTTTAGCTGCCAACGCCACGGCGACTCCCTGTAACGGGGTTGGGTAGATAGTTTTTCTCTTACCGGATTGCGGTCTGTAGATTGACACCTCAAAGATGAGAATCAAACAGTTGTAAGCGATAACTTGTCCTAGATCCTGCCGGGCCGGTACTGAGCTTATAAGTAACCACTAGACACACACAGACACACACAGACAATCACCTATAGTTTCTTGGCAGATAACAGGAAAACTGGATTTTCGTCACCCATGATGGACGAAAAGCAACATATAATTAATTACACTGTGTCTGTACATATAAAAATTGAATCCAATGCACACAAATAAGAGCTTACATTTGTAATGTCGGTTAGGCGCCACGCGCTTTAATTAGTCGTAACAAAAAATTATAGATGAATTATGTAAAGTCAATAATTTACACCTGTGTGTCCATTACATTATTATATAAATAACTATAGTTATCATATGTGAATTAGGTCTGTCGTGCGTCATAAATAAAAGCTTATTTAGGAAAGTGTTTTTCTTTTTTCGACTGTATACTTTTTTTTTAAAGTCATAATTACATGCTATTAATCAAAATACTGTACTTTAGCTATGGTAACATAGTTAGTTAGTTGACAGATTATCTTCACTGCACATAGACCATTCAGTCCATAGGTGCTCGGATCCCTCATATGTAAATCTCGCAGCGTGTGGCAGTTCCCGAGACAGTTCTCTGTTGATTTCTTATTCTTCTTTGGCTTCCTGCATAGCACTCTTATCTGGCCAAACCCCTCTTAACATGTTGTTCTTGCAGTCTGGTCAAGGCTGCAGATTCACAGTCATCAAGTGAACGTCTTACTTCTCGTACAACATTCAGAACATCAGCATAGTTCATTGCTCGTCTGCTCTTTAAAGTTGCTTTACCTGCAAGCCCGATCAGCTTGCTCATTTCCTTGCCCACCTGCGTGCCTGGTACAAATATGAAACTGATATGTGTCAAACTCGACCGCTCAAGAGACTCCAACTACTGTCTTCGGGCGCTGAACTTCTCTACCTTCCGGAGCATACTCACTGAGTTACTAGTGCCTGTTAACTGTTTAAAAAACCCAGTTAAAATGTATAAAAGTTGTATTGGGACCACAGACCGGAAATTGAAGTCCGGACGATAGGTAGGTAGTCTGTCCCCTCGAAGAATGCAGTCTCCAAGGTGAGAATCCTACACGTTCAGATTCGACAAGCCCAGTTCAAGCTCATAAGTCAGGTATAAAAGGGCACCCCAGCGGTTACAAGGTAATCTGTACTCCAATGTGGGGGTGGGGAAGTTTAGTAAGAAAGTCCGGATGAATGCATAACCGATGTTCATGTTTAGTCAAAGGATCAACATCAAGGCATACAGGTGTAACGTATGAGTGCTCCGTTCTACTTCTATCTGGCCGGTCTGAGGAAAGACGAAGCGCACACTGTAAAAATCTTCGCCGTTGAGGTAGCGCAAGAGGTCTTTCCACTTCCATGTATAATGTGTTAAAGCAGGAGCTTGCGAGGAAACGAGCGCAAACGGTAACTAAAACAACTGGGCGAAGCTGCTAAAATAGCTTTGAGCTGGCTCTAGACGCAACGGAACGTCATGGGGGATGGGCATTGGTAGATTAGCCCGAGTCCCTAGTGGAAAAGAACGTCTTATCTATTAAAAGTCAAAGTGCCCGATAAATGTCTGCCGGTGAATCTCTGCCAAATGCCAAAGTCTAATAATTGTACGATAAACCAACCATAAGCTTGTCACTCCGGTCGTGAAGGTAGTCAACTGATCTACTTAGCTACCACAGCCACAATATAACACAACATCTCACAGTATCTATTGCAAAGTCACCATATCGTCTTATTCCCATTGAGTCTGATGAAGTGCAGCAGGGGAAGATCAAGGCCTGGCTTTATGACCCAGGTAGACCCACCTTCCGAGATTGTCTAGGGAAGTTATGTGCCGAAACAATCGGGGGCGAAGGATCTCTCTACCGATGATTGGTGGACCCCTGCTGGGCATGCTCCCGTGTGAAGTTCTTATTATTATTATAATACTAACTCAAGCCGGAGTCTGAAGAATCTCTTCGCAGTGCACGAACTCCGTTGCACCGGTGAGGATCCTGAAATCCTTTAATTTCAACTCCAAATTGTGTCCGGGCAGCGCCGTTAGGCTACTATTTTTCGATTTCTAACTGCCAAGCTATTTTTCACGTTGAACTTTCAGAACTCAAGGCGGATGCCATATCCTGAGACTACTCAGCGCCCCCCCCCCCCCCCAACCCCTCATTGCATACCGATTAACCCTTATAGTCTACTGCCTCAGCGTTCGAAACCCTGAGAACCAGCGATCTCCATCTGGGTAGCAGACCAACAGGACCTGAATGTCTGACATCATCATCATCATGTAGTAGCTCCTTTGCAGAACTTCGCTCTCATCACGGTCTGCCTGAAAGAAACTCGATCTCTCGCCAGCTCTCCCGCCTCGTGTACTTGTATATTCAAGGAGTCACTTATATCCTAACCCGTGTGGGTACCGGGGACCCATTGTGGGGAAAACAAGAAAAGACCCACTGCCCTCCCAAAAGCATGTCGTAAGAGTCGACTAAATGGGGACTTCCTTCGAAGTTGAAGTACATCTGCCTGAGAGGCAAGGAACCAACAGCCTGTATGCAAATGAGTCAGACCTGTAAAACGGATGTGCAGGCAACAATAAGTTTCTGGAACAGAACCTGTATGCAAATGAGTCAGACCTGTAAAACGGATGTGCAGGCAACAATAAGTTTCTGGAACAGAAATAGAGTCCAGAAGTCCAAAACTGTGTCGAAGTGACCCGCGGTCCAGTAGTGGGTTTGAATATTCAGTCCGGACAAATTCGTAACTTACTGTTATTCTCAGGGTTTTATATAGAAATATAGCCTACTGCGCAAATATATCCTAACTTTAACATTAACATAACAAATGAGCAATTAATATTTTTTGTTCGAAATTTGTTTAGCGCCTTGCATCGCCATCAACAAAGCACATCTGCGCCTGACAACTTAGCAGCAAATAGTAAAAATCCGAAACAAAAATGTCTCATTGTAAATTGAATCATAAATTCCCTTGAAAAAAAATATGTATCGCCTTTTCTGAATTTCTTTCTTTTAAATTGTATGACCATTTATGTTTTTCCTTTTTTTGACTTTCAAAATTATCAATTTTAAAAAAATCGTTACTTTGTGCACTATAATGTACTGTCATCCACAAAGTGGGGATGTGTGTGTAGGTTTGTGTGCGTGGGCACGCGCAATTAAAAAAACTTCTCTTTAGCTTATTAATAAATAGTGTAAAACTGGAAAGTACACTGCTCTAAGCAGAAAATCGACTGTGTCTCCCGACTTTTCAAGACGCCCGCCAATCGTTTTCCCACGGAAGATCTCTTTATGAGATTTTCAAAGCCTTGCAGACGAGAGGAAAACGATCGCTGCTGACTCCTCTCAATGTCTGAAATCCTGAAATCTATAATGACTGGTAACCTTCCTGTGAACGTCAGTGAGGGTCAAGGCTGCGTCTTTTAATGCCCGCTCAAGTGAAGTCTCTGGGCCCTTTTGCAACTTTCATTGAAAGCTCAACGGCCGAAATCCCCGCTGAAATACTTGGACATTCACAATGAAGTGACAGCCTCCCACTGGTATTAATTAAACTTCTCCTCATTTCTAAAGAATGACGGATGCTCAAAGATAATGGCGGTGTTCAATGTTGTGAGGACATTCTTTTAACCCCTTTCTGCTGATAATACTCGCCCATATCTAATAATACTCAGCAATTTATAGCACTGGACCATACCTAATAATACTCCGCAATTTATAGCACTAGACCATATCCGATAATACTCAGCGATTTATAACACTGTGCCACACATGATAATACTCAGCAATTTATAGCACTGGACCATATCTAATAATAATCCGCAATTTATAGCACTGGACCATATCTGATAATAGTCCGCAATTTGTAGCACGGGACCATATCTGATAATACTCAGCAATGTATAGCACTAGACCATATCTGATAATACTCAGCAATTTATAGTACTGGACCATATCTGATAATACTCAACAATTTATAGTACTGGACCATATCTGTTAATACTCAGCAATGTATAGCACTAGACCATATCTGATAATACTCAACAATTTATAGTACTAGACCATATCTGATAATACTCAACAATTTATAGTACTAGACCATATCTGATAATACTCAGCAATTTATAGTACTGGACCATTTCTGATAATACTCAGCAATTTATAGTACTGGACCATATCTGATAATACTCAACAATTTATAGCACTGGACCATATCTGATAATACTCAGCAATTTATAGTACTAGACCATATCTGATAATACTCAACAATTTATAGCACTGGACCATATCTGATAATACTCCGCAATTTATAGTACTGGACCATATCTGATAATACTCAGGAATTTATAGCACTGGACCATATCTGATAATACTCAGGAATATATAGTACTGGACCATATCTGATAATACTCAGGAATTTATAGTACTAGACTATATCTGATAATACTCAGCAATTTATAGTACTAGACTATATCTGATAATACTCAGCAATTTATAGTACTGGACCATATCTGATAATACTCAGCAATTTATA